GATCCCAGCGGAGGTGACTTGTCCGGAAGAAGGACAGGCCACTGGGCAGAACCCCCCAAAAAAGAAGGGTTCCTTCCAATCAAACTTGGGTTGAACTCATTTGGCGAACTTCTGAACCGGAGAATTTGAACCCGTTCGGAACACCGCGCACCAACCGAAAAACGAACTGATTCAACCGAGGTTGAATTTCATCATGAATTGTCGAAAGAAGATCAATCCCACTCGTTTCTTGCTTCTTCTGTTCATTATTTGAATGTCAGAGGAGTTCTGATTTGTTTTTGTTTCTGATGTTGATTATGCCTTTATTATCGAAAATCAGACTACTCTACGTTCCACCGCCCTCGTTTCTTGTTTTTGTTTCTGGTGTTCATTATTCAAAAGAAAAACTACTCTAAATTTTCTTGTTGTTGTTCCTGTATTATTTTTTCGAAAGTAGAGAATAAAAAGACGAGTAGAGAATTCACTCCCTTGTTTCGTTTTTGTTTCTGTGTTCATGATTCGAAAAAGAGACTAATTGGAAAAGTTGAGAATTGCTCCTACTTGAAATTCCACCTCGCTTGTTTCTTGTATTTGTTTCTTGCGTTTATTTATTCGAAAAGTGGAGAATAAGTAGAGAAGCAGAGAACAAGATTAAATTCAACCTCCGTCGTTCTTGTTTTGGCTTCTTGTGTTTATGATTCGAAAGTGGAGAATCAGTAGAGAAGTAGAGCAGATTTCTTTCCATCTCTCTGACTTAGTTTGTTTCTTGTATGATTATTGGAATAGTGGAGGAGTGCAAGACTCATAGAGAGTTGTTTTCGTTTCTTGGTCATTTTTCGAAAAGTTGAGAATAAGTAAAGAAGTAGAGAAAAAGGTCTGAATTCCACCTTTTCGTTTCTTGTGTTCATTATTCGAATGTCAGAATTGAGAATTTTTCTAGAATTCTAATCTACACGACAGCACATTCTGACGTAATCAAAACGTGCAAGGGTTGGAGGGGAGCAGTCTTCTCCATTTGCTTGTTTCCAGAAAGAGGGGGTAAAAGAGGGGCGCAACGCTCCCTCTCCATTTGTTCCCAAAATGCCAGGGAGTTGGGGGGTGCAGCCGCTCATTTGCAAACACAATGCTCGCACGATGGGTTTAGAGAGGATTCGTATGCTTTAAAACAAGCTTGCGCGCCCTGAAACCATAAGGGTGGAAAGGACTGAGTGACGTGGCGAGGCTAAGTCGAATGTTTTAATGGAGGCAGGAGAGGCGGCTTTGGCTTTGTTAGGGGAAGCGGCACGTGTCCGACGCCTCCCCTGTAGAGTGACGTGGCGCGGAGCTACCGGGTTCGATCTTGAACCTGGGGCTTCAAACAACCAGGTTTGAACACAGAGTTCGACCAATTGCGAACATAGAGAGAATTTCATTTGAATCTGACTGAAACAAGCACCACTTTAAAAATCCGACATTCAGTTCCAAGCCTTGGATTCAGAGTTGAACTCTGGTAGATTTACTTTGGAGTGGCAGCCTCCAATGAAGGTTACCGCTCCCAGAGGTCAGGGTTGTTTGGAACTTACAGTTTGTTAAGGGCGGGGTGAGTTTCGAACCCTGGGTTCAAATACTCCAATTTGGAGTTCAAACCCGAGTTCCAAAGCCCCTCCATTTGCTTCCCGAATATCAACAGCAGAGAATTCTTTTAAATTCCACTCCTCTCGTTTCTGGTGTTTGTTTCTTGTATTCATTCTTCGAAAAATAGTTGTTCTGTTTCGAAGACTTTTCCCGTGATATTTCTGATAAGCCATGTCAAATACTTTCCGATGTGTCGTGGCAGTTCCAGGTCTCCTTGAGTTGCGTTCGTCGTGCTCAATTTGTTCAATTCGAACATATGTCTGGTCTCTCTGGAGCCAGGCAGAGCAAGATTCCTGTCTGAAGATATGGTATTCTTCCGCATTCCGCAACTTCACCGTTCTTGGCTTCTTTCATTCTCTGTCCTCCGTCTGCAGAACACGGTAGCTTTCTTTGTGAGGTTTTTTTCCCGAGTTGTAACTTTTCAACGAGCTCTTCGATGTACTTCGCATTCATCTCGATGTCCAGGTTCTTGTTCTTCACTTCAAACTTCTTTTCAAGAATCCAACCAATCCTCCATTCGCATCAATCTTGAGCTTCATTTCTTTCATGAACTCTGCTAATCCATCGAAATCTTCTCAACTGTCGAGAACACTTCCGTGTCGTCCACATGTGATAGGAGAAACATTCCTGCCATTCCATCTTGCGGCAACTTGTAGAACAGTGACAGGAATCCGCATCAGTTCTGCATTGTTTAGCTTCGGTGGTGGTCCATCTTCAAACTTGTGCGACCACGTTGGAAGTTTCTCGCTCAATTCTTCATCGTTTTACCATTCGGGTTCTTCTTCTTTGCTGTCCACTTTTGCTTCAACTTCTTCAAGCTGTTCCATCTTAACTTCTTCGTCATCATGATACCTTGGAATTTCCTTCTTCAGATACGGATTCATCTCTTCAACGCTTCTGATCGTGATGATTCTTGTCACATAACTCTCATACGTGTGTTCTCGCTCATCCGACCATCTCACAGCTGTCCCAGGAAGGATCCGGGACCCTTCACGAAGAGGGGGGCTTCAGCGCTGAAGGTTTCGAAGCCCCCTCAACGCCAAGGGCTTGAAGTCCCCCCCTTTCATTGTACCCTTCAAAGCCCTTCAAGCCCTTGCAGCCTCTCTTGAAGCCCTTCAAGCCCCCCTTCAAGCCCTTGAAGCCCCCTTGAAGACCCTCTTTCATGCCACCCCTCAAGCCTCTGAAACCCCCCTTCAACCCCTTTCGAAGCCCCTTCAAGGGCTTGAACGGGGCTTCAAGGGCTTGATGAGGGGGGGGCACCGTACGTGTCCAACTTGTAGCCCGCCTTGCATCAGGTCCGCACATGTCAGGCAAGCACAGGCATGTAGAGTCACGTGCAGTCACTTGTTTGTTGCGCCTAACGATCTTGCGCCTCTGTGCAGTGCATGTCTTTAAACAACACGCTTAGAGATTTGGGTAAATGTTGCTTTCCTTTGGTGTTCTGGCTGGCCAGGGGTCTGCGCCAAGTGCAGCATGCTTGCATGCCTTTCCAGGGGCCGCACAACACACAAAATGGGCAGCGCTTGTCAGCACATGTGGGTGAGCCCTTTGGCTTCAGCTCCAAACCGAAACCCAAACCTGGAATCCCAATCCCAGTTCTCCCTCAACCAACCTGAATGGGCCACAAAGCCCAAAGAAGGCTCAGGACACACAGTTCCAGTGCATTTTCAAAGATTTGTAATCCCCCTATAGTTTTTTTTACAGCCTAGCAGCAAAGAGAAGGTGTTTTGATGGTGAGTTTGATACGAGCCACAAGCTCTTGGGGTTCGACTTGCTTTGCTTTAAGAATTCGGCACCCTAGACCCTAAACTCCAAACCCTAAATTCGGGCTTAAGTTGAAGTCGTGGCTGCCGCCTGCATGGCATCAGCAAGCCGGACCACCGCTTCACATGAGGCCAGGCCGCCGAGCCTTCTGTTTTTGGGCCCACCAAACTGCCGTGGGCACTTCTTTACTTGAGTCCTGCCCTGCTCCTGACTTCCTTGGACCTGGACGCCCCTTGATCACGTTTTGATGCCTGGAAGCCCTCGGAGGCGCTTGCTGTGCTGGCCCCAGCAGCTGCGCACACAGAGGCCGAGGCAACCAGCCTCAAGACGCACACCCATAACTCTAAAACAGAGCCTCACGCTGGTCAGGAGAAGCCCGAAGAGCCTGACGAGCACACGGATATGGAGTTCGGAATGCTGTAGGAAGGGACCCCGAAAGCCCCGATGAGACAGCTTGAATGGACCCACTTTTACAGGAAGAGGAGCTGACGAAAAAGGAGGACGTCGGGGTCTCGCCCCAGTGCCTTGCAGGCACAACCCGCGGATGATGAGGGCTGTCCGAAAAAGCTGGGAACATTGCGCGCGGAAGTTTTGGGGGCCTGGCAGGACTTTTCATAGACGCCTTTGGAGTGAGTTTGGGTCGCGCCGATTCCCTGTGAGGCTTCAGCGCTTCCTCGGAGTCTGGCCACAAGGCGCGGCCAGCCGAGCGCTACACCAGCATCGGCACCGAGTCAGTGCATCATTTGAGCAACGAATCTTTCGAGCGTGTTGGGGCGCTTGTGACACATTCTTGTCAGTCTTGCCCGAAACCTAGCGTAGGAACGGGACCCCCTCAAGGCTTACATGGCCCTAGAATAGCCTTCGAAGACAAGGCTATCAGCCCCTTATTAGGAACCCGCAGCCCTCCAGACAGGATTCTTTCGCTTGTCCCCGCCTGGTTGTTTGTCACGAAGCTGGCAGGACTCCAGTTGCCTGGTGCCCATCTTCAAGAAGCGCTGGCCTAGGGTCATTGCCGCTGGCCTGCGATGCCAGGGCCTAATGAACAACAGTGAAGCCGAAGACAAACCACGGAACTGGGGGCACCCTGTGAGAGGCCGAGAAATCTCAGCACAACATCGGGTTTCAGACGACGGGCTCTATGCTGTATACGGCAGAGTAACGATTTCTTAAAGTAGTCCCCCCCAACTTGCCAAAAAAAAAGAAGTGCCCATGCGTCCTTCGGACCGCCAAGGGTACCCTACTTCCCGGCTTAAAACTGGGGTGTTAGGCCTGAGGGTTTACTGCTTAATGTGGTTGCATACCTTTTAGAGTTTGCTTGAAGGTCAACGCGGCGCGGTACGGCAACGTGTCCCTGCTGCTAGAGCTGGCCAGCCGCCGGGGTGCCGATCTGACAGTGCGAGACCAGTATGGCCAGACTGCTGCTCATGTTGCGGCGGCATCGGACTAGATCTTGGTGCTGCGCTTGCTCCAAGGGCTGCGTGTACATCTTTTCGTAAAGGATGATCGCGGAAAGACTCCAGCGCACCATGCAGCGGAATGGGGACATGGGACGGTGCTGCGCACCTTGAAGCGGCTGGGTGGGAGCCTGTCGGCTAAAGACAGCTGTGGCTACACTCCGGCAGACTACGCAAGATGGTACGGGCATGTTTCGGTGCTGGCCTGCTGGGCTGGAAAGATCTACGCCGCGCTCCACCAAATTCCTGACATCGAGAAAAGCCGCTTCAGCAGCTTCAGGCCCGGTTCGGGCGAAGCAAATCCGGCAGCGAGAGGAGGTGCGGACGTTCTTTCCAGTGAGGCTGACGAAGGGCAAGAATCAGGTCCAGCTCGAGGCGTACGGCAGGGAAGTCTCGCTTCACATTGAGAACACGATGTGCGCAGAGCTGTTGCGTGCAACGGTGCGAGAGCCCCTTCAGCCAGGTGGTCTGCCTCTGCCGCGCTTCAGCTTGAAGTTTCATGACGTTTCCGGGCGACAGATCAAAGATCCTGAGCCAGTTGTGATCAAGATCAAGATGGGCACCCCCGTTGATGGCAAGCTCGTCTCACTTTGTGCTGCAGGAAAGTCGGTCGAAGCATGCGTGTCGGCCAAAGGCATCTTGCGCGTAAAAGCACCCGCTTGTGACCTCTCGAGTCTCACGTTCTCCGTGGACATTTTTCAAAGCATCGACTCGGACAGCCTGATCTCCAGCTTGGAAGTGCCCAGGGGCCCGCGTCAATACGATAGGTTCTACAGCGACTGGGACGAAACGACGCAGCAGTTCGAGCGCGGCGGCCTGCCTTACTTCCTCCCCTACGGCTTCCAGCGCATAGCGATTCAGGTGGACATGACGGGCTTTGAGGACGCGGTCGTGGCATACCATGGCACCTCCCTTGACAGTGCCAGGAGGATCCTCCTGGAAGGCTTTGAGATTCAAAACAATGTATGCCCTGTCTCATCCTCGGGGGTCCCAACAAACCCTAAACATCAAACCCTAAGCCCCTAAGCCCTGAGCCTTGGAAGGCTTCAAGATTCCCTCAGCACGTGGCGTCGGTCCGAAACCCAACCACATCGCAGGCACGTAGCGAAATTCGGCGTCTCGAATTGGGCGGATGCCATATTCTTCTCGTCATCCTCCAAGAACCTTGGCTTTCGGATTTAGGGTTTAGGTGCTCCGAGTTAGAATAGTTGTTGTAGAAGAGGACCAAGAATTGGGGACCACCCTCAGCCTCAACAGCCTAGGTACTGTATGGCCCCAGGCTATGCTGGGCCAGCTGTGCATGATGACGAAGATGGCGAGGATTGGCAGTACTTTCCCACGGGGTCCTGCATCAATGGCAAGGCACTCTATTGCCTTTCGCAGCCCTAAACCCTAAACCCTAAACCCTAAACTCTAAACTCTAAACCCTAAACCCTAAACCCCAAACCCTAAGCCCTTCATGGCCAGGCGCTGTACTGCATTTTGCAGTGCCGCATCAAGAAGGAGGCCTTGACATTGAACCCAGCGACAGGTGGGGGTTTATAAGAAAATAGGGGACCCCTAAAACAGATCTTAACTAGCAGGATCCCCTTTTCCCAAGGCCCCCAATAAGATATCCCCAATAGTCGGAAATAGGGGACCCCCGAAAATAGGCCCCAAGCAGTAGGATCCCCTTATCATAGGGAACCCAAAGAAGGTAGCCCCCAATATTCGGAAGCCACCAGGTCGGCTCGTGTTCCCCGGCACCACGGGCTCCTGGGACCGGAGCGACGTCCGAGTCACACGGGACTTGGAGTACCGTGTCAGAGACACCAGCAAGGTGCTGGTCCATGGCTTTCTGTTCCGCTTCGTGGAGCTGGAGAAAGTTTCGGGCCTGGCAAGGCCCAGTGAGAGGTGAGAGTTCTCAGCTTGCGTTGGGGTGTACAGTGAAACCCTTCGTAGGGCTGAGCTGATGAGTTTGAACTTTTCAACTTAGTGCACCTGCTCCATGTAGTTTCTTTATGTCACTGCTTCAAAGCCAAGCGTGAAAGTACGGCGGTGCGGCTCTAGGTTGCGTGGCTTTGCTTCCGCGTCGCCATATTGCACATTGATGACACCCAGTTTGCTGCAGACTGTCGAGAATGCTCGCAGCATTTACTGCTTTTTGGCATCGCCATGAGAAGATCAATCATTGCAAGCAGCTGCACATCGCAGATCGTCTTGGCATCTGGCACAGACCTGTGCGTTTTGCCGATCAACGGCTGCACATAAGTTCTGTTGTACCCGTTCCAAACATTGTCACCCAAAGACTTTCCACACCTTTGTATGGTGTTATTGCCATAGATTTGAGCACTTCCAGGGTGGAGGACCAGTGGTGTCTTCCCGGCGCCTCTTTGCAGCTGGCAATGCGAGCGGCGCCTTTGCATTGTCACGAGGCCGGAGAACATGTGGCCGGTTCTTGAATCCGGGCCCGTCAGGATAGGAACCAGCAAGGGAACCCAGCGTGGAGGGAATATTTTTTGGCGGAAGAGATCGGAAGCCCGGGGTCCATTGGGTCCGGAGAGGGGGTCCCACGGAGTCCACAGGGGTCCATCGTGCAACTACCGACCTGGGGGGGGGGGGTTGAGGGGCCATGCGCATGGTCCAGGAGTCCAGGAGTCCAGGAGTCCAGGAGTCCAGGAGTGTGTGTTTGGAGTGGGCTCATCCTGAGCCTTCCCGAGGTAGCCGCTGTGGCAGCTGCTGTGCCCGCGGTTTGGTGCACAGCGCTTCTGACCTTGCACTTGTCCAACAAAGTTCCTGCCATTGAGGCTGGTGCGCCTGAGTTGGTGACATTCGTTGTGGTCTGGAGCATGTGTGGCAGATTCTGTTGCAGTGCTTGGAGGTCTCGAGTTACACGCAACAAGAAGGTTTTTGGGGTACCTTGCCCTCAGTTCGTGCCTTATGCCGCTGTCAGATGACCTGGTGCCAGAACTTAGACCCCTTGTGGGAGGATCCAAACAGCAGAACCCCCAAATAGTACCCTATACTGCAAATGGTTCATTCTTAGGACCCTTAAAGGGTTTTTGGATCCTCCCGAAGGGGGTCTTTGAATGAACTAACTGTTTAACTGCGACGCTTGCGAGGCGTGGGACCATCCGGAGCCCAATTACGTGGTGAGCGGAGTTGTGGGGGAGTTTTGGAGCGTCAGCCCAGCCTGATTTGGCAGTCTTGGTGCGTGTTTGTGGGAATGAGGTACTTTGTGGGTTGGTTTGTGGTTTGGCGGTCGGGTTGTCGTTGCAGCTTCTGTTGCTGCGCTTTTAGTAGGGGTGGCTGTGCTGTTTCTTTTGCGGGCCCGGTGGCTATGTCTGCGATATGCACAAAGTTTGTTCTAGCTGGCTGCGAGCACCAAAGCAGGTCCTGACGACCATCCCAGTGGCTGGGGCACTGCTGTTGTACCTGGGGCTGCGATTTGGCTATGGCGCCAAGGCTGGCCGAGCAATGGGACTGTGACAACTTGAGCCATAGAAGCTCAAGCTTCTTGTGAGCAGGTGATGGCCATCTACGTGCTCACCTGCTGCATGTGAGCCCTGTTACATTACGTGATGACAATGTTTGAGGCGCCTTAGCTCAACTCCCTGAAGATGTCGTTGAGGTACTCTTTGGCCTTTACAGCTCATCTGACACTTCAGATGCACGTCTTCTCCACTACCGTGACTCGTTCAGAATGGAAGTCCTTTTGTGCTTGTGCATGTCAAATGCTCCCAAATTCCTTGATGTTCATTCTGTCGAGGTCATTGCAGTGATGAGCAACGTTGGCACGCCCAGTTTTCCGAAGTGGATGTGGCAAGTCGCCGACAACCCTCGGCTCTGAGCCCCAAACCCCGAACCCTCAGCCCTGAAACTTAATTGGTGGTTTGGCAGAATGGGGTTCCCAGAATACGGGAGTACATCAAGACACTCATTGGGTCGGATTTCGTTCAGTTTCGAGGGAGTTTCGTTTGCAAGGGTTGAGGCAGGTCTGGGACAGTTTGGGTTAGGAGAGAAAATGACGAGCTCATCTTCTGACATTGAAGAAACAAAAGGAGGGGCTCACTTTTCTTCAGCTTCAGAAAGGGATTTTCATAAACTAATCGAATCTTGGGCCTGGCTTTACCCCCGAAGCTTGGATTTCTTCCTTTGCTGTTGAGCCTCGTTGGGTTGGGAGGGTTCGGTTTCCTAATGTACTGCTGAGACTCCCTAGACTGCGGTCCCCCTACTTTGAAAGCACCTAATCCGAACCCTCCTCATCACCTGAAACCGACGTTTTCTTAGGCAGTGCTGTCGCTGTGCCTACTCAACCAGTAAGCCCCCTGGTTCTTAGTAGGGAATGAGGGAATTAGGGCCCTATATAGTAAATACCCTTTAAGGGGGTAGGGTACCTCATTCCCTCATTCCCTACTAAGAACCACCCAGACTAAGGCGTTGCTGACCTTCGTGATGTTCAGCAATGTGGTGCACAAGGTCCTGGAGAGCGCGCTCCTGCGTCTCCTTCCCAGCACTTCAGTTGAGATGATGGCATCTGGGCCCCGAAAGCCCAAGCCCTAAACGCTATAAACCCGAAACCTTACACCCCAAGCCCTAAGCCCCAAAGCCCTGAGCCCTAAGCCCTAAGCCCTAAACCCTAAACCCGCCTAAACCCTAACAAAGCAAGGTGGTGCGATTGTCATTGCCGCCGAAGTGGCTCTGGTGAGTACGGTGGTGACCCTGCCGTATAGGCTGGAGCATGGCGGGGCCCCGACCCCGGCTCTGTGCGCACCGTGGTGTGTCTTCCTGGTGGGAACTCATTCCTTTGTCAAAAAAATGTTTGCATATCTGTGTATATATATATATATATATATATATTTTTTGCTATACATATATCTATATTATATGTATATGTATATATATATATAGAAAGAGGCATATATCTCTGCATATGCATGTGGAGAATGACGATATCATGCGTGTATATATCTATATATATATATATATATATGTATATGTACATTTACGCAGACATATAGAAGTGTATGTGACAACGCGCGATTGTCGTTGAGGTCTGGACTCTTTTCATAGTTCAAGCTCCCGGAGTCCGGGCCTCATGTTGAGTTCGGTCTCAGCTTGGAAGGGCTTAGGGTTTAGGGTTTGGGGTTTAGGGTTTAGTTTGGGGTTTGGGGTTTTGAGGGTTCAAGGCTTGGTTTAGGGTTTAGGGTAGAGTTGGCTTCCGGATGCGACCAGCATCTACCGGTACAAAGCTGCAAGGGAGCTTCGAAAAATCCCCCTGAAGTGCTAACGGAGAACCCGAAGCAAAAAATCCCATGTAACGAGCCTAAACCCTAAACCCTAAACCCTAAACCCTAAACCCTAAACCCTAAACCCTAAACCCTCCCTAAGCCGTAAACCCCTAAACCCTCCTGAACCCTGGTCTCTGGCAGGTCTTCTTAGCCACAGCTCTCGCTGGCGTCATGGCCGCGCACTCTGGCCTAGGAAGTGTCAGGCAGTTTCCCTGAGAAGAGGCCGAGATAAACCCGTTTCGTTCAAAGGCTTAGGCCTACAGCCACCCCTGCAACAGTCTTTCGTCTGCGTACCTCTTTGGCTGCCTGTTAAGCCTTGTAAAGCCCTAAAATGAGAGCCGTGCGACCCTAAACCCTAAACCCTACACCCGAAACCCTCAACCTTCAACCCTAAGCAAGAGGCCCGGACCTCCCACAGGGCCGCGGAAAAAGCCACGTACGGCTTGGCGCGGTTCTCTGCAGATGGGTTCAGGATCTTGGAGATCCCATGCTTTTCCTAAACCCTAAACCCTCAGCCCTGAACCCTGAACCCTAAACCCTAAACCGCTTTTGGGGGTTTGCGGAGGTTTGAGGCCATGGCGTGGAAGCCTTTGGGTGCATTGCAGCGTCCATGTCACTGTTAGCGGCTTCGTGGGATGTCACGATTCGGTCTTGGGAACTTGCTCAGGTCACCACTGCTGGAAGCCTTCTGAGCTCAGCGATGGCTTCTGCCTGAGAGTATAAGACGGGTATGAGGGGCGGGTATAAGGGGGTTCTGATGCGGGCGTATACGGGGTCTAAGGAAGGAATAAGGATGTATGAGGGGTGGGAGGGCCCCCAAGATTTCGAGGCATCACCTCGCAGTGCCTCGCAGCCTCAGGTCCTGTCGCTGATAGAGTGCCTCATTGGCTTCGAGCAGTGGTCTCAGGATCACTTTGCAAGTTCCGATTCGACTTCTCTAAACTCTAAGCCCTAAACCCCATTGATTTCAATGGCCTGGCGAGTTTTGAGTTGCGACGCTGCGAGGTGGGGCTTCCTGGACAGCATGTGGGGCTTCCCCTGGCTGCACATAGCCATCCATATGCTGGAGCAGGACTGCTTTGGGCGCCTCCAGCGATTTCCATTTCCCATGAGCCCGATGCATCTTAATCCTTGGGTTTAGGGTTTAGGGTTTAGGGTTTAGCGTTTAGGGTTTAGGGTTTAGGGTTTAGGGTGTAGGGTTCTAAACCCTAAACCTGTCTGGGTCTTGACTATGTTCTTCCTGCAGGTTGGGATCTACGTCTTTGGCGTGGGGGTGGCCGCGCTGGAGGCTCCACTTTCGGGATTCGGGCATGTGGGGGTTCAGGGTGTAGGGTTGGGGGGGTTTTAGGGTGTAGGGTTTAGAGTTAATCATGGGCCTGGTAGGGCCCTAAGTATGAACCTTAAACCAAAACCAAAACCCTAAGTCTCCGCAACCCCTAAAGCCTGAACCTTAAACAACCCTAACCCCTGAGCCCTGAACCCAGGCTCTCCTCTTGCGACCGGACGCCTTCCAGGGGGCAGAGGCAACCAACCTCCCGGTAGGAGGGCAGCCTTGTCCTTGGCACGAGAGAGCCTTGAATCCCAAACCCAACAGCCCTGAGCCTTGAACCCGGAAACCCTGAGGGGGGTTAGGTTCCAGGGTTCAGGGTTCAGGATTTAGGGTTTAGGGTTTAGGGAACCCCAAACCCAAAACCCTAAGACCCCCCCTGGGGCAGGTGCGCCACCTGGGTTGGCTAGTGTACCTCTACTATCCTGGGAAGCTGGAGCGCGGGCCCCAGCAGTGCTCTCTCAAGTATGGCATGTTCCTCCTTCTTCTAACAGTCCTTAATAGGGATTAGGGTTTAGGGATGTTTAGGGTTTAGGGTTTAGGGTTATCATAGGGGGTACGAAAATCCCTGTTAAGGACGGTTAGTATAAGGGGGAACATCCCAAATGACTCCTAGCAAAAGGCCACTCTTAGGACAAACGCGTTAAATGAATGTGAAACACATGATTTCACATGTAAATGATCGCCTGAGTCCCCAAACCCGGCCCGAGTGTTGCGGAGATCCCTCCAACAGTCCGGCCAAAAGAATGACCCATTCTAGTATTGACCTATTCCTTGTTTTGGTTTGGGCTGCCTATAAGGGCCCCCCCTCCCAATTTAGTGCAGTATATGCGTTGGAGTCTAGCAAAAGCCCCCCGAGTTTTGATCAGCGTTTCATCTGGTCGAGATGCCGAAACCCTAAACCCTAAACCTTAAACCCTAAACCCTAAACCCTAAACCCTAGGCCCCCTAACCCAAAACCTGGGAGGCCCACACGAGCTCGTTTGCACAAGGGCGCCTCTGACGGGGTGCAGGGCCCGGTGGTGGTTCCTTTCCCTGCCACTGCACGCGAAGGATGTGGGGGCGGTTGTAAGACAAGGGTCTCCCTTATGAGGGCATCTATGATCGGAATCCCTTCTGAGAAGGACCCCAGTTTAAATTCACACAAAAGCCTACACTACATCCAAAGCGAAGCCCCAAAGCAACAACCATTAGGCTGGCCTCGAAGCAATGAGTCTCGCGGCGCAAGCTGACTTGAGAGCATCACTGCGAGTCAAGGTGAGCGACACCCCACTGCAGTCCGCGACACCAGGCAAGTTGAAGTTCAGCTGAAGCGACTCATCCACTGCCCCCTCCCCCCCAACATTAGAACCCCGCGTCAGAGGTCAGAGAGTTGGGTAGCAAATGACCGCCTTAGAACTTAGGGCTGGAGTTCTTATCAGGGGAGATGATTGCCGAATTTTTGCGTGAATTCTTTGTAGGCATCGCTTCCGTGGGTCATTCTAAGTGGGTTCTAAGAACGGATATCACCAACTACAAGTACGTAGATACCCTACTTATAAACCCGAATATTTCAATATGTGCGAGTGCCTATACATACTACATAATATGAGGTAGTATGACAATCTGACATCATACAATTTCGATATGATATAACATATGTGTACATACACTTGTGAATGAGTTTTCACAGACAGATAGATAGATAGATAGGTAGGCATAAAACACAAAAAACATACATATGAGAAAAAGCACATATGTATATATATATATATATACATACATATATATATATAATACATATGTATCTATATACAGAAAATACTTAAATAAACAAATGCATAAATCCACAACAATACAGAAAATAAGCCTTCAGATCGAGTCTGGCAGCTTGAGCCATGATCTGTTGTGGGCCCTTTTTGGCTCCAAAGCAGCGGGAGGACTTTTGAGATCAAATGGGTTTGGGGGGAGGTTTGGGGGTTCAGGGTTCTCTAAAATGATGGGATTCCTTTTTTTGGGTCACCCAGGACAAGGGTAGAACCCTGGCCAAGTCCTAAACAGTCGCCTTCGAGCCTGTCTGGAGCTCGTTGGCTCTTTGACCGTTCGCCGCCTCAGATGGGGTGCGCATCCCACAAGACCAGCTATGCCCAGCTCTTAGCCTGGTGAGGAAGCCGCATGCGAGAGGTTGCATGAAGTGCCAGAGCTGAGAGTATGTTCCCACGAAACGGGGGTGCTCCCAATATTACCCCCCCAACATGCTGTCCTCCTTATTATTATAGGAAACCCTCTTGGGGCCCGGGGAGGGTACCCTATTTTTGGAAACTCCATGTGAGGTCCGCGAGATTGACCTTCCGAGCCAGGACTCCCTGGAGAGGGTATCTGGTGCACAAATCTTCCCGTCGAATTTGCTCTTCTTCCTCTAGTTTTTCCGTATCTTCGGGTTCTTCCGACTCTCATTCTTATCATGGTCGTTCTTGTTCTTGCTTTGGGCACAGTTTTTCTGATTGCTATGGCTGTGGTTCTGGTTCTTCTTACTGCTTCAAAGCAGCTAACACTCGCGGACCTCGGGAAGGCTGCCTCGGCCAGCGTCACTGTGGTGAGGCTCACGGGCGAGAGGACGCGGGCTCCTTGGGTTGAGGGTTGAGGGTTTCATTGGAGTTCAGGGTTTAGGGTTTAGGGTTTGGGGTTTAGGGTTTAGGGTTTAGGGTTTAGGGTGCAAGGGGTGAGGGTTTAGGGTTGAGGGTTTGAGGGAGCAACCATTCTGGGTTGACGCAGGTCAGGTAGGTCGGCTTTGTGTCCCCTTCACTGACAATGGAGAGTGCCTGTTGCTCACCGCTTGTTCTGGCCATCAACACATCCTGTGGGAGCACAGCCGGGATGAGCCTCCTGCACCCCTGCCACCGGCTTGTGGGCGACGCCAACGCCGAGAGCTCACAAATATCCTCAATGCCCCTTGGACCTTCCCACCACCGGTTGTGAGCTGGAACCCGTTGGCTGGCTTTGGGTGTCAACCTCCTCCGTCTTTTCGACCGCGGAGAGCCGGACGCCGCCTCTACGAGCGGCAACGTCGCCTGTGGACACGGCAGCCTCCGCCCAAACAAACTTGGTCCGGATGGCCTTTGAGGGGAACTCGCATTGGTGAGGCGAAGCGGCCTGGCCCGCCCGCTCCGGGCACGCCACTCGGGGGCGAACGGCCATATCCTGTTGGGTGCCGCCGCCGTGAGCGCTCACCAGATGCTGGCGCCCACGCCATGGAAATTGATGCACCTGCGTCCTCAGTGTCCGCCGCGGCACCGAGTGGTGACCCTTGTCCTGCCGGCCGTGTCTTTTGCCCGGTGCCGCAGTGCCCGCATTCGGACCCCAAGCAGGCACGCGGATGGACGAGCCTTGCATCCATGCGTGCGCACATCAATACGCACCTACTGGGGACGTCCGTTGGGGAAGTGCCGCCTGCCTGGCTCCAACAAAATGGCTTGGTTCGGTGCCTGGTCTGTGGATGCACTGTGTCCCAGCGCCTTGAGGTTCACCCCACATGCCGTCCTGCAGCGCGTGATGCCAACAACGCTTGTGGAGCGGCGCAGGTGCCTGCATTGCACTTGCCGTCGCTGGCTGACATCCAGACTGCCAGGACCCCAACGCTCAGGCATGTCCCGTCCAGCGCCCGGCATGCGTGGCACCAGGCCCTCGTGCGTGCCTTGTCAGCGGTAGCTCATGTCAATGACGAACAGTCCTGGATTGAGCTGCTTATGCTTCCACAATGTGTGCTTTGTGCTCCACTCCGTGGCGGACGCAAGCACCGCCGGGCCACTGCTGCTTTCGTCTCCGATCGCCTGCAACGCTGGGCGGAGGGAGAGCGCTTGCACCTTTGGGACTCTCGGCCAAAACACAACCGCAAATCCACCCCCTCTTTGACACCGGAGGAACGCCGGGACCTGGCCACTGGCTGGGCCAGAGAGGGTTTCGACCACAAGGCGTGCAAGGCCTTGTTGGCTGAAGGCCTGTGCCCGCCAACTGTTGAGTCTGCCGCTGCCTTGGCCGCCTTGCATCCTCACAGCCCGCCCCCGGCTTCTCAGCCTGTGCAGTCCCTGCCTGTGGCGCCAGAGGTGGCTCCGGAACTCGTCACCCGCAGTTTGCGTGCTTGCCGCCCGGAAACCGCCCCTGGGCCCACCGGCCTGCGGGTACAGCACCTCCGTGATGCCTGTGTGGCTGGGGGAGTTGACAGCCTCATTGCCCAGCTCACAGCTGTTGTCAATGTCTTAGCTCAGGGCCGCGCGCCCGCTAGCGTTGCGCCCGCTAGCGTTGCGCCAGTGCTGGCTGGAGCCGGCCTAGTTGCTTTGGCAAAACCTGCTGGAGGCTTAAGGCCCATTGCTGTGGGCGAATTGTTGCGCCGCCTCACAGGCAAGTGCTTGATGACATTGGTCCGCGAGGAAGCTCGAGCCTTTTTCTGGCCGGCGCAGGTCGGTGTTGCTGTCAAGGGCGGAGCTGAAACGGCAGTGCATGCGGCGCGGGCCTGGACGCAGCGGCATATGGGCTCCACCCACAAAGTCCTGGTCAAGCTCGATTTCAGTAACGCGTTCAACTGTGTCGACCGCACTGCGGTGCTCCAACAGTGCTGCGCCAACTTCCCTGTGCTGGCGCGCTGGGCCACGTGGTGTTACCAGCAGCCCACTCGACTGCAGTTCGGGGATAGGGTTCTTGAGTCCAGCTCTGGTGTGCAGCAAGGTGATCCTTTGGGCCCTCTGCTGTTTGCAGCTGCCACCCAGCCCCTTGCTTGTGAGCTACGCCTCGGACCCTTGGACCTTGCAGTGCACTTCCTGGATGATGGCCTTCTAGCCGGTGATGCCCCCGCAGTCGGGGCAGGCTTGGCCCATGTGCGCGAAAGGGCAGCGGCTCTGGGACTCACTCTCAACCTGTCCAAGTGCGAAGTTGTCGTGCTGGGGCCTGTGGACTTGCAGAGTTTGCAATTGCATTTGCCCAATGCTCTTCTTCAAAACGCTGACGGCTCCTGCCGCGTGCAACGCAACTTCGAGTTCCTTGGTGCAGCCATCGGTGATGATGCTTTCGTGCAATCTCATACCGAGGCTCGAGCTGCCAAGGCGCAGCGGCTGCTCGACGAGGTCGGCCAGCTCGCAGATCCGCAAGTTGCTTTGCGGTTGCTTCGGGCCTGCGCAGGCTTCGCACGCATGGTGCACAGCATGCGTTGCAACCCCCCGCACGCTCAGATGGGTGCTTTGGCTGCCTTTGATGGCATGGTTCGAAGCTGTTTTGCTGAGTTCACAGGCATACACGCCACCGCCGAGCAGTGGAGTCAGGCTGCTAGGGGGTTTGCGCAGGCAGGGCTGGGTTTGCGCTCCTGCGTGACTCATGCGCCGGGCGCCTACCTGGCTTCTCTCGGCTCTAGCCTGGCTGCTTGCCTGGAGCTTGACCCTGCCTTCTCGGCCTTGCAAGTCACGAGTGCTCCTTCCGTGGCGGCTGCGCTGGACTCCCTCAACGCCCAGCTCCCGGCTCCTGAAGCTATGTCCCTTGAGGCGGCTTGGAGCAGCAGCCAGCGTAACCTCTCCAAGCGCGTGGATGACTGCGGCTGGGCGGGCCAGTTGGCTCGCAGCACACCGGCTGAGTGCGCTGGGCTTCGGTCCGAGGCTGGTCCGGGTGCTCGGGCTTTCCTGTCCGCCTTGCCGTGTGGGAAGGGTCGCTTTGAACCTGCGGGTTTCCTGCGGAGCTCCGCCTTCGCCTGGGAGTGCCGGATGCTGAGGAAGACACATGGTGCCCTATGTGTGACGCGGTGTTGGACATTCACGGTCACCGTGCCGGCATGTGTGTTGCGGGCGGCGAGCGCACGCTTCGGCGCAACGCCGTTAGGGACGTGGTCTTCGCTTGGGCCCAGCGAGCCGGGCTCCGGCCGGAGAAGGAGCGCTCGGGTCTGCTTCTGCCACAAAGCCCTGATGATACCCAGTCTGCAAGGCGCCGGCCTGCCGATGTCTACTTGCCCGCCTTGGGTGGGTCTCCTGCTGCCCTCGACTTTGCTGTCACAGCACCCCAGCGACAGGAGACGCTCCTCTTGGCGAGCCAGAAGACTGGTGCAGCGGCCGAAGCCTATGCAAGACACAAGGAAAGCCACCTTAACACAGCTCAGGCCTGTGAGAATCAGGGCGTAGTTTTCGTACCTATGGTTGTCGAGAGCACAGGCGAATGGGAAAAAGGCGCAGCCACAGTCCTGCGGCACATCGCTCGTGCGGTAGCAGCCAGGAATGGGGAAGAGGCGGAGCTTGCCCACGCAGCGCTGCTGCAAGAACTCAGCGTCGTCGTTAGGTCGTTCCGGGCTCGGGCGGCCTTGCGGCGACGCAGCGCCACGTGTGCAAGTTGATGCGCCAGCATCTCCGTCCGCCCTCCAGGCCACTGGAGCCTGTCCCAGCAGCCTTCGCTCTTTTGTCCTGGCCTCCGCTTGGGTCGGTCAAGCTTGCGCTCTGCTATTCTGCTTCTCTGCTGGCCACCGCTTGGGTACGTCAAGCTTGCTGAGGTATGTAATTCGTTTGCCGGTACCTCCCAGATTCTATTCGAGATGCCCCGGTCGTGCATGGTACAATAGTGGGATGCGACGGCAGTCCCGTCCCTGCATTTCGTGCTCCCTGAGTCTGGAGCATCGCCCTCATAAGTAAGGGAAGGCCTCCGCCTACTTCTTGCCAGGTTTTCGCGCCACCCTCAGAAGTAGGGAGCCGCGGGCAGGTGCCATTTTGTTCACATTCGGGCTGTGGGGTTTTTCTCCCAGACGTGGTTTTACCCGCAGTCCGACAGTCACCAGAGTATCGGCCGGCATTGTGTCGCTTAAACCCTAATTAAACCTTAAACCCCAAACTCTAAACCCTAAACCCTAAACCCTAAACCCTTAACCCTTAACCCTTAAAACCCTAAACCCTTAACCTTTAAAACCGTAAGCCCTTAACACCCTTAACCCTTAAACCCTAAACCCTGAACCCTAAACCCTAAACCCAAAACGGTGGTGCGCATGCGCTGGAGGATCCTGGCCCCTTGGCGGCCTTAGCTGCGCTTTCTGAGAATTCCGTGCAGGGTTTAGGGTTTAGGGTTTAGGGTGTGTCAGGGGAGGGCGCGCGCTCGGGTGTGAAACACCCCGGGCCGCGCGCTCGCGTTGCCCGTCAACCCACCCCGGCCACCCAAACTATACTCTATTAGGGTTTAGGGTTTATGGAATTTACTTTCTTGTGCTTTGATGCTTGCTTTGATGTTTTTAAAGTTGCGCTGTTAGGGTTTAAGCTGGGGTTGGGGGTAGCCTCGGCCCTTTTCGGGCCTTCGGCGTGTCAGGGCCCGTAGAGGCCCTTATTTATTTGAAGGACAGGGAAACCCTTTGTGTCTGCTCCTGGATTCCCCTTCTTTAAGGGCCTCAATTAAGCATCGATTTCACTACCAAAAAATCGCATTTTTCATTGCGGGTACGGGCATCCTGGGGTCCCCCTTCTTTTAGGGGGCCTTTTTGAAGCCTTTTGAAGCATTTTGGTGGCTCTTGGGGTCTCTCGGGGCCTTGTTCGGACCTTCGGCGTGTCAGAGGTTTTGTTCATTTGAAGGTCAGGGAACCCAATCGCTAGGGTTTAAGCTGGGGTTCGGGGTAGCCTCGGCCCTTTTCGGGCCTTCGGCAAGTTAGGGCCCGTAGAGGCCCTTATTTGCTTGAAGGCCTTCGCAGGGTTTTGCGGTGTTAGGGTTTAAGCTGGGGTTCGGGGTAGCCTCGGCCCTTTTCGGGCCTTCGGCACGTTAGGGCCCGGAGAGGCCCTTATTTACTTGAAGGCCGTCGAAGGGTTTTGCGGTGTTAGGGTTTCGGTTGGGGTTCGGGGTAGCCTCGGTCCTTTCCGGGCCTTCGGCACGTCAGGGCCCGTAGAGGTCCTTGCTGATTTGGGGGAGCCATCGATTTCAGTACTAAAAAAGAACATTTTTCATTACGGGCAGGGGGGCGTAAAACCATCGTTTTCAATATTCAAAAATCGCATTTTTCATTGTGGGCACGGACAAATCTTATGGTCACCCTTCTTTTAGTGGGCCTTTTGAAGCTTTTGAAGCCTTTTGGTGGCTTTTGGGAGGGGGGCTTGGGTCGGTCCGGGGCCCTTGCTATTCCTGGCCGGGGAAAGGCTTCCGAGGGGCCCCTTGACCCGCAGGGCCCTTGGCCGGGGGGGCCCTTGGCCCCGGGGGGCCCCTTGGCCCGGGGGGCCCTTGGCTCGGGGGGGCCCTTGGCCGCCCGGGGGGCCCTTGGCCGCCCGGGGGGCCCTTGGCCCGGGCCCGGGGGGCCCTTGGCCCAAGCAACCCCTTGGCCCGCGGGGCCCTTGGCCCGGGGGGCCCTTGGCCCGGGGGGCCCTTGGCCCGGGGGGCCCTTGGCCCGGGGGGCCCTTGGCCCGGGGGGCCCTTGGCTCGGGGGGCCCTTGGCCCGGGGGGCCCTTGGCCCGGGGGGCCCTTGGCCCGGGGGGCCCTTGGCGAGGGGGCCCGAAAATCCTGTGAAAAACCCTCCGCCAGCCTCCTGGTCCAGGAATCCAGCTACCAGGGACCAGGGGGCCCCCGGGGGGGGGGGCCCGACAAACCCTGAACCCAAAACCCTGAACCGACCTCCAGAGGCAAAGGGTTACGATTTGGGGTTATACTTTAGCTACGCTAAAGGTGGTCTGGGTGCCGGCCATCCCTTAGCCGAGTACTGACGTTGTCGTAAAAAAGGCCGATGTCCGTTGGCCTGTCCAGGACAGACGGTGAGGCTTAACCCTCACCTTTCCGTTTCTCTTTTCGCTTGGGCGCTCGGGCTGTAAGGCCCTCGGCCGAGCGTTCGGGGTCTGTCGCTCGACGGAAGCGACCCCTCACTTAGTTTAGGGTTTAGGGTTTAGGGTTTAGGGTTTAGGGTTTCGGGTTTAGGGTTTAGGGTTTAGGGGTTCCGTGTCGCTGAACTGCGCTGAGGAAGGTGTGGAGCGAGAGGAGACAGTGACGGTCGGTGAGCTGAAAGACGAGATTGACACACGGCAGAAGAAAGCTGAATCCATGGTTTGGTGTAAAGTGTTTTTTTGTGCTTCTTGAGGGGCTTGGAGATTTGGAGTTGGAGTCTCCACTGACGTCCAAGCTTTCCTCCAGCCTCTAGCGGGACAGAGAGGCCTTTGAGAAGCGCATACCCGGCATGTCCCGGGCCTCTTCGCCTTTACTACGGCCACAAGAGCGTGCCCCGTAGCTCGGGGGCTTGGGACACCGGTTCCACCAACAGGCCCGTGCGAAGCAGCAAAATTCTGCAACTGGCTGAGTCGCAGCAAACGTTCCTATAGTGCAGCAGGCCGCCGCCCAGGAGATGCTCCTTTAGAGCAGCGCTCCGAGACTGCAGTTGCGCAGACTCTGGCGGCAAACGGAAGAACTCAAGGCGAAAGTTGTGGCACACGGCCGATGTGGCGAGCTGCCAAAGGCCAGCCCACAGAAACGTCACAGCCGAACACAGCCATCAACGGCTAGCTCAACCTAATCCTCGGCCAGCTGGCAGACCGTTGCACAGCTGGCCTGGTGAGAAATAGGATTGTGAGATGACTCCCGCCATCATTCTGCCCACGAAAGGCTGTCATCATGTTTGGTCCGCCGCTGTCAGGAGAGGTGCGGGGACGTCCCTGCCTACCAGCAGGCCAGATTCAGAACAAGTTGCCGGTTCTTGCTTTCCCCTTGATGTTGCACAAAGCATACACTGTGGTTCAGCAGGAGCTTATCTGCGGGTCCGAAATCCTTGCAGACAGCACTTCCTTGCGAGACTTGGCCTGACATGTGTCGTTGTGTGTCGTTCTGTGTTTCGGCAGTGCGTTCAAGCACAGTCTCAGCCGAAGGACAGGTGGCAAAGTCACACGATGTCGAACTGCAGCTGGTGGTCCAAGACAGACGCTGCGGCATCCACGTGGGAAAGCTCGTTGACGGCGCCTATTGCAGTCCTGGATGTTACGGGCCTCTTGTCTGGAACCCCCACACCCCTGAAACACCCCAAATCATGGCAAGTTTCCTGTGGCCCATATGGGACACCCAACCTCATGTGGGACACTCCAGGACCGTAGATGGTGCCTTCCTTTTGAAGGGCGCCGACGAGTATGTCAAGTGGCCGATCCAGCTGCCTGGGAACTTTTTAGTGCAGACCCGCTTCCGCAGCCTGGCTCGTGGTCCCAGCCTGGGCGTGCTCACTCGCCTGTTTGTTTGCTCATAAAATTTTCTGAAATAATCATCATGTCATAATGAATGTCGGGTGGCTGAACGGTGCCCAAGGGGTGGCCCACTCGGACTTGACGGCTGTGCTCTTCGTATTTTGGGACACGGCGCCCAAGGGGGCCAGGCATCCTTACTTCCAGTCCCACCAGATGGACTGCGACGGAAGCTGGCTTGACCAAGTGGGTTTCGTCGCGCCCCAAGCACTGCGTTGTCCATGTGCTTGGGTCACGACAGGCTTGTCTTACCCCTATAGTGGCGCCGCTGTCTGTCGGTGCTGTCAACACCCGCTCTTCATGGTTCAAAGCTCTAAAACTCCACAAACCCTCGAGGCGCTTCTTCCTGGGCCTCCTTTTGCCGAGGTGGTGAACCGTCAGGGGAGCCATATCCTCAAGTCCGGAGCACACTGGGGCTCAGCCGTCCTCTTTCCTGGGGAGGTCATGGAGCACCTCACCTGCCCTAACTCCGTGAGAGCTCGATGACATCAGCCTGAGGTTCAGGCTGTTTTGTGGAGTTTGGTTGAGTTTTTCGATTTATATATATATATAGGGGGGGTTGGTATGTCACTGAGGCCCCAAGAGTGGTGCGGAGAGTGGCACGACGTCTCCCTGGAGCGCCAAGCCGGCCAGCTGACCGTTACGGTGGATGGGAGCCTCCGCAAGAGTCAGCACTTGGGATGTTCAACTGGTTTTGGCTCGTTTTGAGTCGTATTCGCATGGTCTTGGTTGGGTATTTTTTCGTACCACTGCGAGCTTCCCCAAGCCCTATGCCCGCAGCCCTAAACCCTCATGACTTTTGTTCTCAGGAAGTTTCTGGCGAAGAGTTTCTCCCGGAATACCTTGCACAGCCTTAGCAGCATTCCACAAGCTTTCTGCAAGCACTGTGGCAGTACCCGCCTGGTACTTCCCCACCTAATCTCCTTAGTTCTCAATAGGATCAGGGAAGACGTCGGTAAGCCGCTGTGAAACCCGGGGTGGGGGAAAGTGGAGCTCCCGCATGAATGTCGCCTCTGTGCAAGGAAGAAGGCAATGACCACCAGCGGCCCTGCTATGTTAGTGGGTGTTGATAGGTTGAGGCCGCTTTTGCTGGTGTCTGTCTCGGCCATTGCATTGGACCCTAAACCCTCAACCCTCAACCCTCAACCCTCAACCCTCAACCCTAAACCCTAAACCCTAAACCCTAAACCCTAAACCCTAAACCCTAAACCCCTTTCCAGTGGGAGCCTAGGCATGACGTGGCGCGTGGCCGCAGTCGGCCTGCGCCCGCATCATGAGTCCCGGAGCGCCATTCAGATCGAGCGCCTGAGCCTGGATGTGTCCCAGAATGGAGCCAAGTGAGAGTCGAGCTTAGGGTTTAGGGTTCAGGGTTTAGGGTTTAGGGTTTTGGGGGAGCTGTTTCAACATGTCCCAACACATTGAGAGTTCCTCTCTGTCTCCATGTTCCTCTGAAGTTGGGAACAGTTTGAATGCAGCTTGGCATGCCGACTTGTCAACAGATGTGAGCACACCGATCTTTTTAGAGAGATTTTGGGGCCCGGCCTGGCCCATCATGATCATGATCAGCACATTCAGCACGCACATCGTTGACAAATAGCGGCGCGTTGGGTGTCGGCTGATGCCTCAAGGGCAGAAACCTGCCAAACGAGCCAAGCTCAGCCTCGGAATGAGGAGTGCATGTGCAGGAGGCGTGAAGCGGAGCCTGTGTGAGCAGCCTCCCGTCGAAGACAGCGCTTCCCTTGTACAGAGCGTGGTGAAGGCCGATGGCCTCAAAGTCCCGCAAGTTTTGTTCACTGGACCGCAGTGTGTAGCTGCTTACGCGCCTACTGTGGAAAGCCCCGAACAGCACGCTGCGCCAGGCCGAGCTTTTGCTCAGCCGGCAAGTCTGTTCTCTTAGTGGCACGTGCGAGCGCTTGTTCGTGCCGGAACCGCGGCCTCTTGAAAAGCAACAACATCTCCGAAGAAGTCATCACGCGTGCTGTGCAAGCATACGCAAAGCCATCACCGCACATGTGTAGGACAGGACAGGTGATCTGTGTGCCGCTCTGTCCTTGCTCTTGGAGAGGTGTGAGGTATGATTCGGGGTGGCGGATTAGGGGCGCGGGTTGGAGTTGGGATCTGTCGCCTGGCGGCCCCCTTGGGGTAATCTACATCTTGGCACATTGAGGGTTTCCGAACTTAGGGGAACCTTAGTGAAGGTCCTTACTATAAGGGAATCCCACTGTTTGGGGATCTATATTGGGGTCCCTTATTTTTGTAATTGTGGGAACTGTACCTTATCGAACGTCCTGAGTCCTATAGTATTTGGGATCAATATTGTGTTTAGGGTTTGGGGTTTAGGGTTTAGGGTTTAGGGCTTAGGGTTTAGGGTATTTGGGGATCTGTATTGGGGGTCCCTGCAGAAACCCCTCGCTCTCCGTAAGCCCAGCAGGTGTGACAGCGGCCCCGCCCAGAGTCGTGACCTCCAGGCAGCGGCTTCGGGGGGTGTAGGGTTTGGGGTTTAGGGTTTAGGGGTTAGGGATTAGGGTTTAGGGCTTAGGGTTTGGGTTTAGAGTTTAGGGTTTAGGGTTTAGGGTTTCGGTCCCGGGGTCAGGGGGGCTTAGAACCGGGTTTAGGTGGGCTTGCCTGGGCGAACTTGGTCTTCTCATGCCGTAGCTCATGGACTGTATTGGGATCCTTCTTTATAATGCAAGGATACCACAGGAATATTCCTAGCACATTTGGTAGATGTACCTTTGTTTTTAATATTACTTTATGGTACAGGCTTGCTTAGTTTTTGGGTTGCGGGGTGTGGATACTAGAATCTTGACCCTTAAAGGACTGGCCTTGCACAACCGCAATCATCAGCACACTCTCCCTTGTCCAATCATTCCGTTACATATATATAGTTTACATGGAATACTTGGCATTTGGGTGTGTGTTTTTGTCTGAATTGGAGGGAGGGGATTACTTGCGGTCAGCCACTGATTTGGGGACCTGTTAAGGAGATACGGTTCCATACTTCTGGGGTGATGCAACGAAACTAAGTACTCGTTATGTGGACTTGCCCTCGACTGCCAGGAACGGCCAGGAAGAAGAAAACGTCGCCAAGAATGCCTCACCAGGCAATGGCTCTGCTTTTGGCGGAGGGTCTTGTGGGAAGCTGAAGAGCCCAACAACTGAGGGTTCAGGTGTTAGGGTTAGGGTGTTTTTGTTTTTTGGTGCAGATGCTTGGTACACACCCCTTGCAGAAATTCTTCGGTGACTTACAAACAGTAAGTAATGCCCCCTCTGAAGGGAATGTTCGGTGCCTGACTCTGCCTGTATGGGGAACGACTCGATGGATGAGCTTCAGTGTAACTTCCTTGCTCAGAGAGGCACCTGGCAAGGCAAGCTCCTTGAGAGTTTAGGGGTTTGGGCTTTCGGGTTTAGGGTTTAGGTGTTAGGGTTGTTTGGGGTCCCTTGCTGAGGCAAGAAGGCTGCGGTTGCTGGGGTGAACGGCACGCACGAGACGCCGGCCTCGGCACCTTGCCCGGACACTCTTCGGACACTTTTTCAGATACTGCGGAGCAGGAAAGCCCTTAGAGTTGTCCCATGGATGAGAACCCCAACCCCTGTTCATTCATGCTATTGCCATTGCATCGAGTTGTGTCTTCGTTGCCTCCGGTCCCAGAAACTACACCCCATGCAGCCCCAAACCCTAGACCCTGAACACTGAACCCTAAACCCTAAACCCTAAACCCTCAAGCCCCCTGTAAACTTGAAATTATTAAGAAAAATCCAAAAACGAAACTCCTCGAAACTTTCCTCGAAACTTTCCCCGGACCTGAACCCTTAGTAATTTCAATAAGCCCTAAACCCTAAACCCTAAACCCTAAGCCCTAAACCCTAAACCCTAAACTCTAAGCCCTGGGGAGCTGCTGTCGAGGCGAAGCTGGACACCCTGCAGCGTCGGAAGCGAACCGAAAGCCGGGCGCTTACCGCGAAGCCTTAAAATTGAACCCTGATCTGCTTCCAATTAACAATCATACTCAACCCTAAACCCTGAACCCTAAACCCCAAACCCTAAACCCCAAACCCTAAACCCTAAACAAGCCCCGCAAGCCCTAATTTCACACTTCTTGCCCGTTCTGCCGCCAGGCCCTGGTGTGGCGCACCTTGTTGCTGGATCCTCACAGGAGGGTTGGGCTTAGGGGTTTGGGGCTTGGGGTTTTTTTGGCGTTTAGGGTTCTACGCTTATAGGTTGTAGAGTTGTAGGGTTCGAGGGTTGTAGGGCTGTAGGGCTTTGGGGTTGTAGGGCGTAGGGGTAAAGGGGTTATAGGGTTGCCGGGTAGGTTATAGGTGAGAGCTCAATGCCGAAGTTTTTCGTAGGTGATTACCATCAGCCCTTTATAGGATTCTGAGGTATCCTGCAATGTGCTTCACAGTAGAAAGGATCCTCCCCCCCCCCCCCCCTTCCAAAACACCGGGGCCCGAATTTTGGACAGTCGAGATTCCGAGGCAAGGCCGAGACATCAGCCGAAGCCGTGAGATGTGGGTGTGCGGCTGTTTGCGCCACGCATATCAGCGCCGACAGTCTCGGTAGATCCTAAGGCGAGGATGATTTCACTGTTGAGAGCTTCTGGTAGCGCGGGAGCAGTGTGCTTGCCCTTCCGCGCCGCAGATGCTTCAGCAGCGAGTTGGGGGGATTCTCTAAGTTGTGGGGCCGTTTTGGGTACCCGATTTTTGAGAGCCTCCCATTTGAGTTTTGCTGATTCTGAGCTTTGGGAGGCGTTTTCTCATGACTGCGCCATCTTGCCTGGAGAGACTCAGGCAGACTTGCCCGGATTGTCCCTGGCAGCTCTAGCTTTGCCTTTCACACAACGCAGATTACATCTGCAAACCAACAGCACACACAACGTGGCAAGAAAGTACGAAGCAAGAGGCACGGGAACCATTCGTGCAAGACCTGCAAGCGTGGGCGTCGCCGTCGCCGAGCGACGCGGAAATCTATTGCTTTATTGGGGCAGTTTTCCAAAATTGTGGTCTGTTTTGGGGTACCTAGAAACCCTATAAACCCCACACCCGAAACCCTAATCCCCAAACCCTAAACCCTAAACCCTAAACCCTCAACCTTAAACCCTAAACCCTAAACCCTAAGCCCTAAACCCTAAACCCTAAACCCCCAGAAGGACCATAATTCGGAGAGCTACCTTATTTAGGGCGGCGGAGAGCTGCCAGATAGCAGGGCAGGCTCGGGTGACTCAACGGATGCTGTAACAAAGTGAGGACGCGCAACGATGCTGCGACCACCATCCTACCACTCCTACCACTTCTATTGCTGCCGCTTACTACTACTACTACTACTACTACTACTACTACTACTACTACCACTACCACTACCACTACCACTACCACTACCACTACCACTACCACTACCACTGCCACTAGGGAATGCTTCAATTCAATTGCTGCAGACAACAATCATCTTGCTCCTCCTACTACTCGCAACAGTAGTTGCAGGTCAATATTCGACAAGAGCTCGCGAGGAATACCCAGGTGAGAGCCCCGAACTGATGATGACTCATGGGTTTATAACCAACAACTACGACCTCATCAATTCAAGAAGCAAGGTAGCCAAAAAACGGCTGACAGAATTCATGCAACCCAGCAGTTAAGAGTCTGTCCTTAATTTAAGAGTAGGCCGTGGATGAGCCGAGTTGGAAGCTGAGTCACCGGAGCCTTTTCGGTTCTCCAAGCCGGGAGAGTCGAACCGTTTTCCGAGGACGCGAGTGGAGCTCGATGCTCGCCTAAGACGAACCAAGTCAGACCATTCCCATGAGTTGGAGGCGAGCGATGTCGTGCCAGCATCGGGTGACATGTGAGATATGATCACCATATTGGAGTTATGTATGTTTACATTGAGTATATGAGCTGGCTGACGCACTGACAGTCTGGTTGGTTCAGGGCCCGCGCTTCCGAACTCGCTAGCCTCGCACCTCTCGGTCCCCTCTGACCCTGTCAGAGGGGAAAGACCACGGGCCACCTTGAGGCACCAAAGGCCCTGGGCTGTGAGCTGTGAATGAGTTGCTGTTGAGTGAGTCGTGACAGTTAAGTTGCGAGACTCTGGCAAGGTGGTCGCACCACGTCAGGGTTGCGGGATGGTACCTGGAACCCTCGCCCCCTAAATCCTAAACCCTAAACCCTAAACCCTAAACCCTTCAAGCCCTAAACCATCAATGGTTGCGAGTTTCGTTCTCCCTCTACGGGTCTTAGGTCGGCTTCGGGTGGCCGAGCACCTCCACGCTGGGTACAGTCCCACATTTGGGGAAACGAATTAGAGCAGCAGTTCTCCCCATGTTCAGGGTGGTCCCAACCCGAAACCCTAAACCTCAAGCCCTAAACCCTGAACCCTGAACCCTGAACCCTGAACCCTGAACCCTAAACCCCAACCCCCTACGAGATGAGTACCCGGCGTTTGCATGTTGGTGGTAGGTGGCAGAGAGCGGTGGACTCCTGCGCTCTTGGTTCCAAACACTGTGGCCGCTGCGTGAAAAGATCGTGCGAAGCATATTGAGCTAGGGTGCTGTTCGTCTCAATCCAGCCCGAAATCGAAAGACCCAAAACCCTACTTGTACAAACCCCCAACCCCTATACCCCAGCCGACTTGGCCAAGCTTGCCGCGTCCTGCCGCCTGGCTCTTCAAGGGGAGGGGTGGGCCGGGGCTGTCCTTTGGCCAACCCCGGCCGAGGACTTCGGATCCGTGTTGCCAGGGTTTAGGGTTTAGGGTTTAGGGTCCTAACCCCTGTGAGACACCCTCAAAATCCCGGCAAGCACTCACAAGCCCCACCCTACACCCTACAAACCCCACTGGTGTGCTCCATGACGAGGAGGCTCCTCGTCATGTCCCGCTAGGGCCGAGGGCCTCCCGCTATCAGGCCGGGCTGAAATCTCCGAACTTTTGCGAGGGGTATCGTGTTCAGGGTCAAGGGGTTTTGGGCCTTTTGGGTATTGGGGTTCAGGGTCCAGTTGCTCGCCTCAAAAACTCAAAACGGAGCCAAGGCGCCGAAATGAAGTCGCGGGCCCAGAGTCCAACTGAGTTCTGCTGCTGCAGCATCTGCTTCCGCGAGCCTGGTGCCTGACACGGGTACTCGTACCTGCAACTGCCCGAGGTTCTTGCTCTGTCTGGGGCTGCTTCCGTGGCTCCAGGCCTGCGGCAAATCTTGCAGGTCTCGCAACCCTAAACCCTAAACCCTAAACCCTAAGCCCTAAACCCTAAACCCTAAACCCTAAACCTCAAGCCCTAAGACTCAAACCCCCGAGGAAGGGTTGCCAGCAATCGCCCACGCCATCGCATGCTTGCGGGCATGCCTGGGAGGCCCATGTCGCTGAGGAGCAGATGCCCATGGCCTCGGTACAGAAGCTCTCCCGACAGCCTTGAGTCTGTTCCCGTACTAGGGATACAATTATCCTCATGAAGTTGAGTTGCCATCGCCGGGTTATTTTGCACAGAGTATCGCATCCCTCATATGGCAACTTAGATGAAGTTCCTTGAGAAGAGCCCAGAACACTGCAGAGGTCGGAGGAGACAGAGGCACTGCAGCAGCGTTCGGTGTCTTCCGTGGTCGAGCTGCTGAAGGCTCGCGTAGGGTTTGGGTTGCGGCTTGAGGGTATTGAGGGTTTAGTGTTCTTGATTCAAATATATCGACGCATGCCAAACTAGTAGCATCCCCACCAGCTCCTGGTCGTTTTTGGGACGTGTGGGCCAACCTACTAAACATACCCCGCCAGCTTCAGCTCTCTTCGTGTGTCTGCAGACACGTCGGTGCTCCGACTGCTGGGTTAAAGAGAGTTTTCCAGGCCATGTCGAAGACCATCGCGCAAGAGACGGAGGAGGACCAGAAAAGCTACGAGAAGCTCCAGTGCCCCTGGGAAGCATACGCCCTTGAAGCCTGAAGAGCCCGCCTCAATAGCCCCAAAACCTACCTTTCTTTTTGCAGTGTTGTGTCAACCCCTTTCTCGGATTCTTATGCTCAACCTACAAAGTGACCTGCAAAAGGGAGTAGGTTTGGGGCTCTTAAGGTGTTGTGTTGCCTGTGAGCCTGAGGCTGGTGTGATGCCGAGAAGTGCGAGCCCCGGCGACACCTGCAGCTGAGGCTTCCGGCTTCGACGTGGCGAGTTGCTGGGGGCTATCTCAGGCTTGTGAGCATGAGGCCTCAAGGGAGGCATGTTATCAACAGGTGGGCAGGGCCTCCCCCAATCTCAGTTTGATTAAAGGCGATTGAAGGTGATAGAGTCCGAAGAACAGCTGCCCAAGTCCCACTTTCGCCCACCTTTCTCTCTTTTCTGAGGAAGGAGAAGGCCGAGACCCTGGATCAGGGATCGGCCCAGGCCTCAAGGGAAAGGTGAAGACCGAGAAGCAACAACGTCATGCAGAAGCGCTTTTGCTTTGGATGGGTGACCCTCAACCCTGAACCCTCAACCCTAAACCCCCGGCTCCTCTCACCCCTCTCCCCCTCCTCCCTCCTCCCCCTTTCGTTCCCCCTTTCGTTCCCCCACACCCACAAACCCATGAGCCGAACACACGCTCGTTCTCACGGTGGAGCAGAGCACTGGCCGAGGCAAAGATTGCTGAGATCGAGCCGGGGCCTAAGAGAGCATCCTGTGCAGGCACAAGGCCCCAAGGTTCGAAGGTTCTGGAACCTTTGGGGTTTAGGGTCTAGGGTCTAGGGCTTAGGGTTTAGGGTTTAGGGTTTCCTGAGGATTGAGGGTTTATGGTTTAGGGTTTAGGACTTATGGTTGAGAGTTCAGGGTCGTGTCGGGGAAGGTCGTCTCTGGATAGCTTGGCTGCATCTCGCGCTACACTGGAGACTCACATCAAGGCCGGCTGTGTGGGAAAGGGAAGTTACATGGTCCCTAACTTAATATGATCAATTAGTTTCTTTAAACCTAAGCGGGTCCGAAGTGGGCTCCTGGGTTTTATAGAGTAGATCGATAAGGGCATAGCGGTTCCCAATTAAGGGCCTATTTTAAGTGGTCCATGTAACTACCCTTGGTGGTTTAGTTGTAGTGGTGGGATATATGGTTTATAAAAATGAAATCTGAAATTTTCAATATTTTGTGAACATACTTAATCATTCATCGACGTATCGATGAAATGTCAATAAACAGCGAAAGCTCGGAAGGAATACCAGCTAATTTATAAGGTTCGTCTGGATAATGTAAAAGATACTTGTCTTGTCTTTTCTAGAGAAGAATGAAGTCCAAAATGTAGCATTCACCCCTTCTAGTAGGTAGCCCAAACCTTAAACCCCAAACCCTGAACCCTGAACCCTAAACCCTAAACCCCTAAACCCTAAACCCTGAACCCGCACTAGATCCCCAAGTGTCCAATTGGGGCTCTGTGTCGCAGACTCTCACTTGGAGGTTGACGGTACTTCTTAACCAAGTATAACTGTACTTAGCACCCACGTATAAGCCCCTTAAGTGCCTTAATATGTTCATAAGTTATAAGGACAGTCATAAGTACCCTAAACCCTAAACCCTAAACCCTTATAAGTACAGTTACAAGTGGTTAACAAGTACTATGAACCTCCAAACAGGACCTACAACAGCAGGTGGCCGAAGGACAAAAGGCTTCCGAGCAGGCCAAGCAACTTAGGGTTTAGGGTTTGGGGTTGAGGGTTGAGGGTTTAGGGTTTAGAGTTGAGGGTATGAGTTGTTCAGATTCTTGGAAGAGGATTGATGTGCACGCAGGTGTTTCGGTTTTGCCCAGAGAGCCCAACCCCATGTACTGAAGGACGGTAGCTTTCAAATCAGGATAAAGGATCCCCTAAACAACAAGCAGCATATGTGCAGTTTAACGTATACTCCTGAATTAATGCCGTTTCCGTAAACCCTAAACCCTAGACCCTAAACCCTAAAGGTTTCAATTGCCCTCATGTTAGCAGATGCGATCGGCTCCTGGGAGTGGACTTCTTTTGCAGGCTGCTGCCGTGCGGAAGGATCAGAAAGAAAAGTTTGACAGCTGAAGCCTTAGGGTTTCAGGTTTTAGTTTGAGGGGTTTAGGATTTAGGGTTTATGGGCAGGGTTTGGCGAGGATTTCGGGTTTGGTGTTTGTTTGCGCAAACTGGTGTTCTTGCTGACGCTCTTCCTTGGCGAGGCAAGAAATTGCGGACCCTTGGAACTAGACAGGATAGGGCGCGGGGATGCGCAAAATTAGGGTACCTACTTTGAAGGAGTTCCTTACAACAAGGATACTACCATGTTGGGGTATAGGGGTACCCTATGTTTTTGCAAATGCCCGCATGGATGTTGCATCAGATGCTGCAGGCTTGAAGGAGGCGGGCTCTGCTTGATTAAGCTGCCCGAAGCGTACGTAAAGGATGGGCGAGAGTGTTCGACTGTCGAGCATCCAGGGGATGAGACTTTGGGGTTTTTTGACGCTAAAACCCTTAAATTCGTAGGGTCTCCTTTCCTGTTTGGTCCCTGCTGTTTGCTCTTCATGATTCAGGCTACGAGGCTGACACCGAGACTTACCTGGTGAGCTTGAAGGCGCAGCACCAACTCAGCTGCCAGCAGCCAGGCTTTCCAGAGCTAAGCCCCAGCTCTGCACCCCTGAGCCCGAAGCCCTAAGCCCTAAGCCCTCAGCCCTAAGCCCTAAGCCCGACACCCTACACCCTAAACCCGAACGCACGTGAGAGGCAGCGATCGGAGTGCTCACAAAGAAGACCGGGCAGACAGCACTGCGTCCGCCTCAGGAATCTGCAGTCGTTATCTGCCTGAAGATCCCAGCAGCCTGCTTCTGTGTGCTATAGGGGGCGGTTCATGGTTTAGGGTTTAGGGTTTAAGGTTTAGGGTTTGGGGTTCAGTTTTGTCCCCTGTATAAATATGGTCCAATAGCCCCAAAAAATTCTATTCTAATTATTAAGGCCTTCAAGGCCCTTACCTTCGGTTCTTGCTTACTAGCTTCTTCATGGAACTCTCAGGCAACCCGAGGGCCTAAACCCAAGAACCCTAAAACCCTCACTCGTCAAACCCAACCCTAAAACCTAAAGCCCCCAAACCCTAAACCCCAAAGCCCTAAAACCCTAAAGCCCAAAACCCCAGACCCCAAACCCTAAACCCCAAAGTACCGAAAAAAGGGTTTGGGGCTCTGGGGGCCCCAGGCCTCAAACGACGGCTTTCATGCAGATGTTTTCGCGTGCGCCGCCTGGCTGCAAAGTGGCTTTTAGGGTTGTGGGGTTCCAGCGTTTGAGGGACATCTTTGCTCCCTGCTTTTTGAGAGCTCGTACAAGGGCTGTGCCAGAATAGAGTAAACGACCCTGAAGCTTAAACCTTACTAAACCCCCTCAACCGGGCTGAGGCCGCTCATGCCTGAGTCGCGAAGAGAGCAGCCCCAGGCACGGGCAGTTTAAGGTCGGGAGGGTTTAGGGAGGGTTTAGGGAGTAGGGTTTTTGGGTTCAGGGTTGGATGTGATATTCTTGCGATGCGGTCTTAGCGGAGTGCTCACCAGCCAAGCCCAGGGATTCGATATCCTTTCTTGAACATGCGCGAGCATGTCATGGGTGGGCTTCATGGTTTGCTCTGACGCAGAAGCTCGGTTTGGAGTTGACGTTGTTGCTTGCGAAGCCGGGTACTTTGCTGGTGATCTCGGGTTTTGCAGGTGGCATGGAGAATTGCTACAGTGTATTGTGCGCGACCCATACTTTAAACCCTCGACTGAAGAGCACTCAGGAAACGCTCTAGGTTCTTTATGTTCTTTAGATTCCCCTGGACTTGAATCAGTATACTGTTAGGAGTAGCAAACCGTCCTCAAGGGCTTAGGGTTCAGGGTTTAGGGTTTAGGGCTTAGAAGTTCGTTCATACAAGGAGCTGTAGCATTGTTCTTCTCTGTGTATCGCAGTGGCAGGCTGAGGCCTATGACTCCGTGCCCGTTGACTCAGGGGATTCCAGGCGGGGGAGAAGTGTACACTTTGGGATGCTCCGCAGTCCTTAATAGGGATTAAAGTACCTACCCCCTATTGTAATCCCTATGAAGCACTGTTAGTAAAAGGGGGGAACATCCCAAAGTGTACCCCAAAACCCGAAACCCGAAACCCTAAGACCCTCAAGCCTCAACCTTCCACCTACCACAGGGAGCGCCTTCGATTCCCCTTCCCCCCAAGCCCTAAACTCTAAACCCTAAATCCCCCTATCCTCCGCTCTGCAGGGTGTCTGGGCTGGATGAAGTGGACCTTGGAGCAGAGACAGAGAGGAGACTGCGAGGTCCGTTGCTGGCATTGGAGCTGGGTATCTTCGTGTTAACACAGGGCATTCCTACAGCGCTAAACCCCTGACGCCCTACAGCCCTAAAACCCTAAACCCATCTAAACCCCAAAACCTAATCTGTAAAACTTGCAACCCTCAACCCCAAACCCTGACACCCTGACACCCTAAACCCTAAACCCTCAACCCAGTTTTGCCAGGAAGCGCCGATGCACTTGGAGGCCCTCGCGTTGAGGGCTGGTCGCCGGAGGAGGAGGCGTGCCAAACGGACCCTCCAAAGATCCGCAAACATTTGGAGTTTATGGTTTAGGGTTTAGGGTTTTGCGTTTGCAGGGTAGTTTAGGGTTTGGGGTTTGGGGCTTAATAAGGGTAGTTTCATGGGCCCTTAATTGGGTCCCTTACCTCCTTTAAAGGGTTCTGAAGTATGGGCCCTTGGGTTGTATAGGGTATATAACGGGTGTATAAGGCGTACCCTTGCAAGGGCCCAGATTATGGGACAATGTAGCTACCCTAAAATTTTAGGGGTTAGGGCCGTTAAGGGTGTAGGGTATAGGGTCTACTATTTCGCATTTTTCTTCTTTGGGTTCACAAGGGCCTGTATACAAATAAGCTTCAACAGGAAGGGCCAATTCAGTTTCTCAAGCGTCCGTTCGCCTTTCCTCAAGTCCGGGATTTCGGGTTTGCGGGTCAGGGTTTGGGGTTGGGGATGCCAACGTAGCAATGCCCAAAAAAAGCTCAATCCTAAACCCTAAACCCTCGATTGGAGCATCCCCTAGTGTGAGTGCTGATGAATGGCAGCTACAAAAGAATAATATCATTAATAGTAGGAATATAATATGAATAATCATAGTAATAGCAATAATAATAAGAATAAAAATAAGAAGAAGAGCAAAATTCAAAATAATAAGAACAAGCATAATAAAACGAAGAATAAGAATAATAGTAGTAGTAATAATAGTAGTAATAATAATATGAATAACAAGAAGGAATAGGAATATGAATCATAATTAAAGGAACAAAAATGATAGTACTGATGGTGGTGATTCGCTGCCTTGATCTCAAAGAAGCGCAGCCCCTGCACAAGAAGTGGGGTTTGGGTTCTTGAGAGCTTGGGATTCGGCGATATGGCCCAATGAAGGCCCCAAACCCGCGCGATGCACTGTACGCTCCCAACCTTAGGACTCTCAACCGCCTAAACCTGGCAGGTTTTTGGGGTTTTGGGTTTAGGGTGGCGCTGCTTGAAATGGACGGCTAAGCTGTGACAAGCCCGACGCCCCGACCTGAACCGTAAACCCCGAACCCCAAACCCCAACCCCCACAAACCCCAAACCCCAAACCCCAAACCCCAAACCCCAAACCCCAAACCCCAAACCCCAAACCCCAAACCCCAAACCCCAAACCCCAAACCCCAAGCCCTAACCCTAAACCTTAAGCCCTAAACCCTAAACCACTTGGCCAGTGCAGGCCGCGGTGAACCGGGGCCTGGGCGCTGCGATGTCGTTCGCGCAGTCGGCGCAGGGGAAGAGTCTCGCTCCCTGGCGAATGACCAAGCGGGCAACTACTTGTTATCATAGGGGTTTTGGGTTTAGGGTGTCGGGTTTAGGGTTAGGGTAACCTTCTTTGTTGTGTTTCTGCGGCTTGGGATGTTAGCGGCGAGCTATGGAATTTGGGGGCGCGTGCTGCGTGTGAGGAGCTGTATAGCCCGGGCTCGACCGGTGAGCTCATCGGCATGTTCCAGCAGATGCTTTCGACCATGGAGGCAGCGTCTGTAAAACGACAGTGCTCTTCCATTAGGGTTGAGGGTTTAGGGTACCTCAGTTTCGCCTGTTGATGCATCCCTTGCTAAAGGCAAGAAGGCCCTGCTTTCAGGTGTTGCCGGCAGCCTCCTCAGTCCGTGCTTAAAAAGGGTTGAGGGTTTAGGGCTACAGGAAAGCTACCTGAAAAGGGTTGCTCGCAGCAGTACTCGCGCCTAAAGCTACGCGAGGCCTGCGCGACATTCTCCCCTAACATGAGCGCCGGAGCACGGATGCCTAGCGAGTGTCTAAACTGCAACCCGAATTTCTCAATCCCTGAACCCAAAGCTCCCAGATAGGTAAGGCATCTGCAAGCCATTCTAGCGTAGTTACATGGTCTCCTGATATACCCCTTGCATCCCCTGTACAAATGAAGAGCCCATACTTCAGATCCCCTCAAAAGAGGTAAGGACCCCGTCAGACTACCTTAGAGCCATCAGACGCACGCCTGCCAGGGGGATCTCAAGGATGCGCGTGTCAAGGACTGACGACTGCAATGCGTTGCTGTTGGCATTCTCATGTATTGGGTTTTTGGGTTCCTAGGGTTTGTAGGGTTCGTAGGGTTTGGGGGCTTGCGGTACTTGCTGTGACTTGTGGCTCCCGCATGATGCGGACGACATCAATGCAGATGTCAGGGAGAAGCAATCTTGCTCTGCTCTGCTGAACCCTAAGCCTTAAACCTCAAACCCTGAACCCTAACTCCAGCGCTTCACCATAAGCACCAGTAAACCCCGAACTAAGCCCCTGAACCCTGAAACCCCCCTAAAATCCAAACCCCAAACCCCAAAACCTTAAACCCCAACTCCTAGACCCAAAGAACCCGAAACCCTAAACCCTAAACCCTAAACCCAAAAAGCCCTAAACTGTCAGGAGGCCCAGTCGGTTCGGGACTTCCAGGAATTGCAGGAGGCACGCCGCGAGGCCTTGCGAGGGGTCTAGAAAAAACTTGGTGTTTAGGGTTTCGGGTTGAAGCTTTAGGGCTCAGGGGTCCGGGGCTTGGGGCTTTGGTTCGAGGGTTTTTTTGGGTTTGGGGTTTAGGGTCTGCGGAAAATCTGGGGACTGCGAGGGCCCAAGGGTTTGAGGGCGGTTTGGGGCTCGAGGGGGTGTTGAGGATTGAGGGCTTTAGTGCTTTGGGTTCGTGGTGGAGGGTTTGGGGTTTGGGGTTTGGGGTTTGGGAGGGGTGGGATTCTGGACAGGACAGTCTGCAAACCCCAAACCCTAAACCCCAAACCCCTTAAACCCTAAACCCCAAACCCCCTAAACCTTAAACCCTAAACCCTAGACCCTAAACCCTAGAAGCGTCTGCCTTGCAAGCACTTCGAGGAACTCCGCGAGGCCACCAGCATGGTGGACCTGAAGAAGAGGGAGAGGGCGCACGCCAGCGAGGACGGCCTTCCAGATACCAAGCAGGGCTTGCGGAATTTGGGGTTTAGGGTTTAGGGTTTAGGGTTTACAACCCCCCCCTAAGAGACCCCAAAACGCCTGAACCCCTGAACCCCTGAAACCCAAAGCCCTAAACTCCAATGCTGTGTAAAGGCACTTGCCCTCGCCAAATCAGACAAGAAGCAGCTGAGCAAGGTGGGCCCCAGAGCGTGCATACCACCCTTGCCCCCAAGACAAGTGTGCTTTGCTTACTGTGCTTTGCTTACCATCAATTGATGTGTTTCGGGAGTAGCCTGCCTCCTAAACTTTCGTCTGCTTGAGTGGTCATGTACCGTGATGCAAGCTGCTTAGAGACCCTAAATTCCTCGATTCCCTCCTGAGAACTTCGAAGTTTGAGGGGAATGGTTCCAGGTGCTCGCGACCAGCAGGGAAGCCTTGGCGACGGTCGCCAAGCGCTGCCAGGACCGATCGTAGGTGGGAGGCAACAGGGGATGTAAGGTTTTAGGGTCAAGGTATATGAGCTGATGACGTGTGTGCACATGCGTATATGGCGCATAGGGTGTGTGAGGTGTATATGGTGCGCAAGGTGCAGAAGGTGCGTAAGGTGCGTAAAGTATGTCAGGTATATCAGGTCTATGAGGTATGCAAGCTCAAGGAAAATAAAGGTGCAACCGATATAAGTCTAGGGTTGAGGGCGGTATTTGTTTAGGTTTCTCCTTTTGCGCCGCCCTCAGATGTAGGAGCTGGCACTTTTTTCCTGCCTTGGCGGCCTGTCTGAAGACTTTGCGGCATTCCATTGTGAGGGCTCTGAGCGTCCCCTGTGAGGACTCTGAGCGGGGTTTCAAGGACCGCAGGGAGGCCCGGCATCAGGAGGACGCCGCCATCCTCGAGACCATCCAGGCGCTGCCAAGAGTGCACAGGTTGGGAGGTGGGTGGCTGGGACTTGGGGATGTTGAGATACTTTTTCGGAATTGTAGAGTTTAGAGTTTAGGGTTTAGGGTTGAGGTGTGCTGGTTTATGAGGAGGTATGCAGGTACTGCACAGGCGGGTGAGGTGTGTTGAGTAGTAGGAGAAATGTACTTGAGAGGGTCGGTTGCGCGAGGTCCTGACTGATGGCGGCTCTTCAGCCACGAGCTTCCTGCAGCAGCTCGGACTCAGACATCCTTGCATCCAGGGGCCATTTGCATTACGAGCTTCAGACCTCAGCGCAATGAAGATATGCCTCGTCAGAAGCCAGATCAGCAAGTCCGGCGCATCAGTCACATGTACACACACACACACAGGGAATCAGTACTCGATCTTGTGGTTTTTTCGTACCCTAAACATCAATGATCGCGCGTTGCAATCGGGACCCTGAATCGAACCGTACTATGCAGGTTTCTTGTTTCGCTTCAGAAGGCCACTCCTGCCACGCACCTCTTCATGCCTCGTGCCGGTGCGTCTATGCATATGTGATCTTGATCGGTAAGGCCGGTTACACTTTGAGTACGTTGCGGGTCGATGCAGAAGTCCATCTGAGGCTGACCATGGCCTCACGGGCACAAACACGGGCCCGCAGCGTGGCCTCCGATACCCTGCGTGCGGCGGCCGCTCGTGGCACGGCCGAGGGCCGCGTGTCCCGGTCGCTCGAGGGCCTCGCCGCCGCGGCGGAGAGCGAGTCCTTTGGCAAGGTGCGGGAGGCCATCGACGGGATGATCCGGGAGCTGAAGATGCAGCAAAGCACGGATGCAAAGAAGAAAGACTGGTGCAAGCTGGAGCTCTTTGAGATTCAAAAGGCCACCGAGGCCGCCTCAGATCATCAGACCTCCCTGAACCTCCGGTCGTCGCAGATGGAGCAAGACATCAAGGCCTTGCAGGGTGCCCTGGGCTGTTCTGATTGCTTTTGCTACTGTTACAGTGTTTTCAGTTGCCATAGGAAACAATATGCTTTAGGGTTCAGGGTTTAGGGTTTAAGGTATAGGGTTTAGGGAAAATGTGCTTGTCTTCCTCTGGCCGCTCAGCTGCTCAGGTGACCTGGACCACACCGCCGCGAAGCGTTCCGAGCTGCAAGGCCAGCTGCAGGCGGCTTCGGAGGAGCGCAGGGAGGAGCAGACCGCCTTCCAGAAGACCCACTGGGACCAGCAGATGACGCTCCGGGCCCTCCAGCAGGTACCTCTCTGCACACTCCTGAAACAAGTCGTTTTGTTATTCTTTTCGTCCTCACTCCAATGCAGTACTCTGTGTGTGTGTGTGTGTTATGCATTGTTTGTGTTGCTCTTGCTGCTATCATGATGGAGGTATCAAAAAATAATTATGAAAAAATGCTATTTCTTTTCTTCATTATTGCGGTCGTTGCCGACGCTCGCCTTGTATTCACCACGGTCACCCTTGGCATTGAGAGGCATTCCGGAAGCTGTCTGGGGTCTACGCGCCCCCGCTCTCCTTCTTGGCACGGCAGCCGCGGCAGGCGCGGTTGGGCAGGGGCACTTCAGGTGGCCCTCTGCCGCCTATATGCCAACATTTGATCGTCACATTCATACTAACATGAAGCATAAGAGTACTCAACGAGAATAACAACAATAGCAATGACAGTAGCAATAGCAACAATAGCAATAAGTACAGAAACAGTAACAACAATGTAGCAACAATAATAACAACAGAGACGGCAAGATCAGTAATCGTAACAATAAAACTAAGAACAACAAAGCAACAAGAACCATAATCCGTGGGAGATGCTTTATCTTATGCGCCCACTGCCCTAAACCTAAAGGAGCATCCGAGAAATGGATGCCCCAAAAGGCCCGGAAGTTGATCAAACCTAAGCTAAACCTTTAACCTCCAACCTTGAACCTCTAATCCTCTAAGAACCCCTAAACCTCTAAGAACCTCTAAACCCTAAACCCTAAACCCTAAACCCTAGACCCTAGACCCTAAACCCTAAACCCTAAAGCCTAAACCCTAAACCCTAAACCCCAACCCCAAACCCTAAACCCCAAACCCCAAACCCCAACCCCTAAGTTAGCAAGGCCGCTGGCTACCAGAAGAATCTGATGGGCGGGACTGTGCTAAAGCTGCTGGGCCGGACCTGGGATACTTTTTGCTGGTTTCCTTGTTGGGAAAGCCCTAAACCCTCAGCCCTAAGCCCTAAACCCCTAAAGCCCTAAACCCCTAAACCATAAAAACCCTAAACCAGAACCCTGAACCCCTAAACCCCCAAACCCTGAATCCCTAATCCCTAAATGACAAACCAGGCTGCTGCAGACGCTGATGGCTGATGCAAAGGGCCTGGTACCTCGGCATCGTCTTGGTAGTTCAGGGCTTAGCGTTCAGGGCTTGGGTCGATAGGGTCTAGGGTTAAGGGTCGATTGGGGTCTGGGGCCTAAGCACGTCGACCTCGATGGCGCAAGCCGACCCAGCTCGCTCGCCCGCCTCCCACAGCATGGCGGTCGGTAGCGCCCACGATGAGGCCAGGCAGGGTGGGTCCCCCGCTTGGGCGGCCCCCCCGCCAAAATCCCTGGGCCCCCCTTTAATACCCTGCACCTTCCTTGCACTCCGCCTTTGTACTGGTCTGTCTGTGGCTTTTTTTGTGAACCTGAACCGGGCTGGCGACCACCGTGACGGAATGAAGAAGTTTTAGGAAGTAAGCAGTTGGCTTGAGTTCGGCCTAAACCCTAAAAGGAATAGGTCTGGGTGGCTTTGCCGCCTCGGACGGCGTGGGGTGGGAGAAAAGTGTTAGACAATCGTGCCAAAGCTGCTCTTCGCGCCTCACGAAGCTTCCGAGCTTGTTCCAGAACCTCACCTTCACAGCATCTACGCCCTATCACAGCAAGCCCTAAACCCTAAACCCTAAACCCGCCCCCATCATGGCCTAAGGTCGAGAAGGCTGCGACTGCGGAGAACCAGGCCGAGGCCGGCTCGGCCTCGGAGTGAGGGTTTGGGGTTTGTGTATGGGTGAGGGGTTTCTGAACCCTAAACCCTAAACCCTAAACCGTAAATCCTAAATCCTAAACCCTAAACCCTAAACCCTAAACCCTAAACCTTAAACCCTAAACCCTAAACCCTAAACCTGAAACCCTACATAAACCCTTAAACCTCTAAACCCCTAAACCCTAAACGCCAAAACCCCTAAACCCTAAAACGGCATGCAGCAACCCTCGAGCTCCAGAGGGTCGGGGAAACCGCCCGCGGCCTCTAAGCCCTAAACCCTAAACCCTAAACCCTAAACCCAAAACCCTGAAATTTTCAGGTGCGACGGCCACTCGGCTCCCGGCGAGTCTTAAGCAAATCCCTCAGATCCCTCAGATCGCTTGAGGTTTTAGGGTTTTTAGGGTTTATAGGGTGTGTGGGCTTTGTAGGGTTTGGTGTTGGGGGATTAGGGTTCAGGTTTAAGACCCTTGATGGGTTAACTTCATCGGCCAGAATGAAATCAGAGTCACTGCGGGTAGCTCGGGTAGCTGTGTCTGCAAAGATGCAAAGCAGCTAGCCGTGTCAACAAGACCACTCCCAACCCGATGTCTATTTCTGCGGTTCTAAAGGAAGGGGGGTTCATGGGGGGTAGGTACCTGAAACCTTAGGGAAGCTTCGGGAGATTTAGGGAGTAGTAGGGAGTATTAGGGACCTTGAGTTACATACCCCCCTTGAACCCTTCTGCCTTGTGACCCCTACAACCTATGGGCTTCGGGTTAAGGGTTAAACCCTCACCTCACAAGCCCCAACGGTCTCGCCCTGCACAGGCTAGCTATGGCCGCTTCGTGGAGGAGAGCCTTCTGCACCTAAATGGGGTTTCCGAAATTAATTGAGGTCCTTCTTCTCAGGGAGTCCGACTACTTGGGGGTTTATGTTTGGGGTTCTTATTTTCGGAACCTCCCAATCATGGGCCTTGCTGGGTATTTGAAACATAATGCTCCACATCAGGACAGGAACCCCAAAAAAGACCAGGATGTAGAGAACTGCCTGCCGTGTAAGAGTCTTGCTGCTTTTCTCTGGTCTGTGCTTGCTATGCTGCTCCTCGCTCATGTCCCACTGACCATGCAGCATGAACTCCACGTGGCCAGGTAGGGGGTAGGGGGTAAGTACTGATTCCCCAAAGTGCCTAAGACCCTCTCTGCCGGTTTAGGGCTCGGGGATTTGGAGCTTGCAGGGCTGCTGTTGAGGAACCCAAGCAAAGTACCATAGTATGGAGATATTTCCCCAAGCTAGAAAATGGCCTGGTTTCTTCTTATGGTAACTTCAGGTACTTTCATCAAAGGGCAGCTCTCTACACTAGAGTCCCCTTTTAGGTCCTATACCCCAGAAGGGACCCTAATTTAGAGCACTACCTGTCAAGGTTCTTTAGCAAGAACCCAGCTTGGAGATGGGTAGAGGCTTGGGCTAAGAAGCCAAGAGGAGACGAAGACAATGCTCGAGGCGCTGCAGGCGGACGTCGTTGCGAAGTCGCGGGCGACACTTGCCTTTGGGTGCATTCGGGGAGTGGGTTTAGGGTTTCGGGCTTCGGGTTTAGGGTTCAGGGTTTAGGGATATGGAGCATCTCAATGTTTGCAAATTAAGTGTGTTTTTTTGCTTTTTTAAACAAAAGTATGGATCTGTACTGCAACCGGCAACCTGAAAAAGGAACCAGAATGTAGGGAACCTAGCGTATGTTGAGATGTGTTGAGCAGCTGACTCCCTGCTGCGGAGCTTCTTGCAAAGTTGCATCTGAAGATATCGGGAGGGTGCGGGTGTGAGGGTATTTAGGGCAATATAGGGTCTGAACCCCAGGATCGCGACAGCCAAGAAGGATCTCCTCCGAACGGGGCAGGATGCGAGGGTGAACGCCCAGGCCTTAAATCAGATGAATGGTTCTTATGTAGTTCCGGGTATAGTCCTTAACTGCAGGGTTTTGGGCTCTGGGTACAACTTGGGTGTTTCGTACTCGCCTCATACTCCCTGCGCAAGTCCAGAGGAGCGAACGGACCTGGCCGCGCAGAAGGCAAATCTCAAGGCCCTGCACCTCCCCTCCAAACCCTAGGCCCTGAGTCAACCCTAAAATGCCCTGAAAATTGAAACGCAGGCCTCCATGGGCATCCGTTCCCACCCCCGTCCCTGCCCTCCCTTCTTAAGAACGAAAGGCTCCTAGCCTCTTAGAAACCTTGTGTGGGGTTCCTTCATTTGGCTTTCAATCTGAGGGGAGGGGGTGCACTTCTGGGTGCGGGTCTAGGATGTCAGCTTCCGATCCCATGTTGAGCAACAATGTCAGAGTTTTTTTTTTTTGGGGGGGAGGGGGGGGGGGGTGGGGGGGCCCAACCCTAAAGCCTAAACCCTAGACCCTCAGGCCCTTGTAACTGTAGCTTGAACCTCTTCTCAAGTTCAATAGAAGCTTTTCGCGAAACTTTCCTCGAAACTCCTCGAAGCTTTCCTCGGGCTTGAACCCTCAATGTCAAGAAGCCCCTAAACCTGAAGCCCTAGACCTTACGGCTTGAGTTGAGGGTCTCTTGAATGGCAGGCCCAGTGCGACTCCTTGATCAAGGACTTTGGCCAGATCAGCGACAAGAGGCAGGCGGAGATCGAGGCTCTCGACATCGCGGGGTTTAGGGTTAGGGCTTGCGGTTTAGGGTTTAGGGTGGGGGTGGGGGGTTGTTTCTGAATCATCATCCCCAGCCTAAACCCTAAACCCTAAACCCTAAACCCCAAACCCTAAACCCAAAAAAACCCTGGTCAGTTCACTTGAAGGCCGAAAAGCCGGACAGCCGTAATGAATGTGGCAGGCCCTGACCCAGTCGAAGGCGGCTCTGGTGGATTGAGGGGCCTGCGAAGGAAAAAGGGGCTTGGCGGCTTTAGGGCGGTAGGGCTTTAGGGACTCTAGGGTTTACGGTTTGGAGTTTAGGGTTTGGGGTTCAGGGTTTGGGGTTTAGGGTTTAGGGTTGGAGGTTTAGGGTTTAGGGTTTAGGGTTTTAGGGTTTTAGGGCGTTAGGGCTTAGGGCTTTAAGGCGTTCAGGTTTAGGGCTTCGGACTTTAGGGTGTTAGGGCTTTAGGGTGGTAGAGTTTAGGGTGTTAAGGGTTTAGGGTTTTAGGTTGTTGGGGGACCTGTCTGGGTGCTGCTTCAAGTTCCTAGGACTTATCAACTACATAGGCTCGTGCTCTTCGGCGAGTTGCTGTTTACGGGTCGAACGTAGACGCCCACCCCATGCAGGCACAGTTCAGGGGCTGTCACCAGGTCAGCAACGGCACTTCTGTCTCTCGTCTCCCCTTCCCCCGCCTCAGACTCGAGGACTCCTCTAGAATCCTTGCGGGTTCGGGATCCTCAGCCCTAAGCCCTAAGCCCTAAGCCCTAAACTGCCCTATTGCCCTAAACCCTAAACCCAAAACCCAAACCGTAAACCCTAAACCCTAAACCCTAAACCCTAAACCCTAAACCCTAAACCCTAAACCCTAAACCCTAAACCCTAAACCCTAAACCCTAGACCTCCTTCATATCATTCCGGGGGAGCCCAGCTGCTGCCTTTCCTGCGGACGGGACCATGGCCCGGTGTCAGCTGCGGTGGCGCCGGATCGGGGCTCGGGCCTCTGAGGGTTTAGGGTTTAGGGTTTGGGGTTTGGGGTTTCAGGGTTTCAGGGTTTGGGGTTGAGGGTTTGGGGTTGAGGGTTTGGGGTTTCAGGGTGAGCTATTCTGGGGGCGCTCAAGTATTCGGGGGGAGGGGGTTCGGTATGCAGAGTCATGATTCGGTCGCGACTATGCGACTTCGCTTCCATCAGACGCGCCCCACCACCCCCCGCCCCCCAAAACGAATCCCTAAAATCCCTCACGACCGGTTTAGGGTTTACTTTTTAGAGTTGAGGGTTGAGGTTTGGGATTTAGGGGGCTGAGGATGAAACCCCAGAAGAGCCTGCTCAGAGCCCCAGGCCTCGTTCCTTACCCTGGCAGCGGCGTGCTTCGTGAATGGCAACGTGCAGAGGATGGGTTTAGGGTTTCGGGGTCTTCAACCTCAAGCCCCAGCTCGGGTCTGGGGTTTAGGGTTTAGGGTTAGGGTTTAGGGTTCAGGGTGCAGGGTTTAGGGTTTAGGGTCTAGGGTCTAGGGTGTACGGCTTTGGGTTTAGGGTTTAGGGCTTGGGTTTAGGGGTTCGCGTACACCCGACAGCTGAGAACAACCCGTGCTGAATCGGCTTGGTGTCGGTCTGCGGCGCAGCTCCTGCAGGAGACATGCCCCGCAGTGGCGGACTCCGGTGAAGGCCATGAGTTGCTGTGGACCCTAAACCCTAAACCCCAGGCCCCAAGCCCTAAACCCTAAACCCTAAACCCTCAAGACAAACTAAGTAGAAGTTGTTTGTGGTATCTTTTTGTTTTTTCCAAGTCATGTTTTTGTCTTTAACAGCTGGCAAGCCGAGTTTCGGTAAAGTTAATCGAAAGCGCCTCTGTGAGGTCAAATGCCCCGTTCACTCATTTTTCTGGGTCCGTCCCCTTCAAGCTCCGAATTCCAAAGCAGAAGCCCTCGGCCAAAGCGTGTAGGTCAAAACTTTCCGTCAAGACATTCGGACACGGATTTCACCCTGCACCCCTCTAAACCCTAAACCCTAAACCCTTTACCCTAAAACCCCAAACCCTTCTTTCTGTTCCGGAGAGCTCCCCCAAGATGGTTGAAGAGGGCTTATAGCTAGCCGGCCTCCTGCTGTCGTCTTAGCTCTGAAACCTTAAACCCCAAACCCCTTTGGTTTAGAGGGTTTAGGGTTTAGGGGTTTAGGGTTTAAGGGTTTAGGGGTTTAGGGTTTAGGGTTTAGGGTTTAGAGTTTCGGCCTTCAAGTCGGATTTGTAGCCGCTGAGATGGCAGGCGGGCGCTGCCCCTGAGCCTCGTGAAGGAGTTGTCCCTTGGTGCCCATTTTGGGGGGTTTAGGGTTTAGGGTTTAGGGTTTAGGGTTTAGGGTTTAGGGATAGGGGAAGCTGATTTGGGTCCTTACTATAAGGGGATCCTCCTGTTTGGGGGTCTATATTAGGGGTCCCTGATTTTCGTAAACCCCCTTTAGCCAGCGACTGGCTCCATCCTGACTTCTTGGGTTCTATATCCGCCCTAAACCCTAAACCCTAAACCCTAGACCCCAAACCCCAACCCCAAACCCCAAACCCTAAACCCTAAACCCTAAACCCTAAACCCTAAACCCTGGAGTTGGCCTTTTTCCGCCCTCAACTCAACAGTAGGAGTCGGCGTATTTGTACTGTGCTGCCCTCAGAAGAAGAGCAGGCGCAAGTGTACTTCTTCCACAGTTGCTCCCCATGCCTCTGCGGTCGCCCTAAACCCTAAACCCTAAACCCTAAACCCTAAACCCTAAACTCTAAACCCTAAACCCTAAACCCTAAACCCTAAACCCTAAACCCTAAACCCTAAACCCTTAACCCTAAACCCTAAACCCTAAACCCCTAAACCCTAAACCCTAAACCCTAAGCCCTAAGCCCTAAGCCCTAAACCCTGAACCCTGAACCCTAAACCCCAAATCCTAAACCCTAAACCCTAACGCCAAAACCAGCTCGTAAAGGCCTGTAAGCTTCGTTGCTTCCAGATCGCTCGCATGGCAGGTCGCATAAACCCGAAACCCTAAACCCTAAACCCTAAGCCCTAAACCCTAAGCCCTAAACCCTAAACCCTAAAACCTAACCTAAACCCTAAACCCACCGCTTCTCTGGTAAGGACTGGGACGGCCTGGGATTTGGTCTTACCACCAAAGCCACGCAGATGGTCGCAGGAGCCTCAGGAATGCATGGTGGGGCGGTTTGGTTTATTAAGTGTGTAGTTTCCTTTTTCGGTTTATGGTTTAGGATTTTTAAGGTCCCCTGTACGTCTAGGGGGGTTAACCCCCCACACGGCTCACAATTCACATATAACTGGCCTCTGGCTGGAGCAACCTCTTGCAGTGCAGACGATACTTTGACAATTCTTGTAATACGTAGGATTCTTTATGATGCCTGTCACACTTGCAGTTCTAGAATGCTCACATGACTGGAGAGACTGTGCCCACATGCCATCGGTCAAGGTTGCCAAGTGCCCTTTGGGTGGCCAGTGGTCCACGTTCGAGGTGCACCACGGAATCAGCTGCGATCAGATTTCTGAAAGTGTGATATCTTGGGATGTTCCCCCTTATGCTGACGGTCCTTAATGGCGACATTAAGAACTGCTAGGAGGAGGGGGAACATCCCAAGTGACATCCCAAACCCCTAATCCCAAACCCTTTACGAGAAGCGGACGAACCACCCCCTCCTAGTCCTGGATCCATCTTCCCTCCAGATGCGCTTGATGCATTCCTTGGCCAGGGAAATCCAGAAGTCCAAAGACGGGTCCCTCAAGCCCGAACACCCTAAACCCTAAACCCTAAACCCTAAACCCTAAACCCTAAACCCTAAACCTTAAACCCTAAACCCTAAACCCTAAACGCTAAACCCTAAACCCAAATGCGAAGCCCTAAACCCTAAACCCTAAACCCTAGACCCTAGACCCTAAACCCAAAACGGCCTTGCAGGGGAAGCACTTTGCAGAAGCCGCTCCCGAACACTCACGGCAAAACACGAAACAATACACGTGCGTTAAGCAAAGTTTCCGAGAGACTGTTTTGCTGTGAGTAAACCCTAAACCCCATACTCCTAAACCCCAAGAGCCACACCCCACAAAATTCATAGATGGACTGGGGGGGGGGGGGTGAGAGGACTCGGCGCCTTGGCGCACAGCTCAACGTGCATCCCGTGTGGTGGCGTGCGTGGAACATGCAACTCATCCTAAACCCTCAGCCCCCCTCAACCCGAAACCCTAAACTCCATAAACCTGAACCCTAAACCCTAAACCTTAAACCCTAAACCCTAAGCCCCAAACCCCAAACCCCAAACCTCTCTGAGAAGAAGCTCCGCAGGTGCAGGACTATGGTCCCCTCCAGCTGGAACCTGCCGCATGCTGGCTTGCAAGAGCGCGGAGGGTTTGGGGCTTTCGGGTTTGGGGCGTTCGGGTTTGGGGTTTAGGGTTTAGAGTTTGTGGTTTAGGGTTTTGAGTTTAGGGTTTAGGGTTTGAGGTTTGGGGTTTAGAGTTTTGAGGTTAGGGTTAGGGTTTAGGGTTTAGGGTTTAGGGTTTAGGGTTTGGGGTTTGGGGTTTGGGGTTTGGGGTTTGGGGTTTGGGGTTTGGGGTTTGGAGCCTGGGGCATGGCTTTAGAAACTTGGCCATGGCACGGGCAGTTTTCTCAAGTTGGGCTTCTTATTGTAATGCGGAGCCTTCTGTTCTGGGGATGTCTCAGACAGATGGATAGAAGCTTCCTGATTGAGGTATCTGCTCTGGACCCAGAGTGCACCAGTTCCACAAACCAACCTCAAGTTCGGGGGCCTTCGAGGCTGCTGGGAATTACCTCGCAGCCCCCCTAAATCCCAAAGCCTAAGCCCCAGACCCTAACCCGAAACCCTAAACCCCAAGCCTTAAACCCCAAACTCTAAACCCCAAACCCTGAACCCCTAAACCCTGAACCCCAAACCCTGAGCCCCAAACCTTAACCCGAAACCCTAAATCCCAAACCCTAAACCCTAACCCTAAACCCTAAACCCTAAACCCTAAACCCTAAACCCTAAACCCTAAACCCTAAACCCTAAACCCTAAACCCTAAACCCTAAACCCTAAACCCTTTTGGGCTTGAAGGGTTTCAAGGCAGGGGTGTTGCCATTCGGGTGCCAAGACCACGGCGCTGAACTACGGCCAAGCCATCTTCGAGGGCCTGAAGGTGCCATGGTTTAGGGTTTAGGGTTTAGGGGAAGGGTTTAGGGTTTAGGGTTTAGGGTTTAGGGTTT